ATTGTGAGCGGTGGTATAAATATATGATTGTGAGCGGTGGTATAAATATATGATTGTGAGCGGTGGTATAAATATATGATTGTGAGCGGTGGTATAAATATATGATTGTGAGCGGTGGTATAAATATATGATTGTGAGCGGTGGTATAAATATAAGATAGTGAGCGCTGGTATAAATATAAAATTGTGAGCGGGGCTATAAATATATGATTGTGAGCGGTGGTATAAATATAAGCGGTGGTATAAATATATATATGATTGTGAGCGGTGTATAAATATATGATTGTGAGCGGTGGTATAAATATATATGATTGTGATATATAATGATTGTGAGCGGTGGTATAAATATATATGTGATGATTGTGAGCGGTGGTATAAATATATGATTGTGAGCGGTGGTATATATATATGATTGTGAGCGGTGGTATAAATATAAAATTGTGAGCGGTGGTATAAATATATGATTGTGAGCGGTGGTATAAATATATGATTGTGAGCGGTGGTATAAATATAAAATTGTGAGCGGTGGTATAAATATATGATTGTGAGCGGTGGTATAAATATATTATTGTGAGCGGTGGTATAAATATATATTGTGAGCGGTGGTATAAATATAATATTGTGAGCGGTGGTATAAATATATGATTGTGAGCGGTGGTATAAATATATGATTGTGAGCGGTGGTATAAATATAAAATTGTGAGCGGTGGTATAAATATATGATTGTGAGCGGTGGTATAAATATATGATTGTGAGCGGTGGTATAAATATAAAATTGTGAGCGGTGGTATAAATATATGATTGTGAGCGGTGGTATAAATACATGATTGTGAGCGGTGAGCGGTGGTATAAATATATGATAGTGAGCGGTGGTATAAATACATGATTGTGAGCGGTGAGCGGTGGTATAAATATATGATAGTGAGCGGTGGTATAAATACCTGATTGTAAGCGGTGAGCGGTGGTATAAATATATGATTGTGAGCGGTGGTATAAATATAAAATTGTGAGCGGTGGTATAAATATAAAATTGTGAGCGGTGGTATAAATATAAAATTGTGAGCGGTGGTATAAATATATGATTGTGAGCGGTGGTATAAATATATGATTGTGAGCTATATCCACGCAGTATGATGTAAAACATATGATAAAACATGATAAAAAATACACGGAGGACGAAATCATAAAATAGATCGAATTCCTGAGTGACATTACATTCGTGTATTTTGGCGTTAAGGTCTTCCAACAAACAATCGGAATACCCTTGGAAATCAACTGTGCTCTTCTTTTGGCTGACTTGTGTTCTGTTTTCATACGAATCTGAATTTAATGAAGAACTTATCAAGGCACACCACAAAGAATTCGTGAAATCATTCAATTTCACTGTCAAGTATATTGACGATGCCTGATTTTTCAGTTTTATTGACAATGCCCATGCTAAATACCGACCTGATCGGAAACAAGGGATATATCATACTATTCCACGTCAGCCGCTTATCTCGATTTATTCTTGCTACAAAGTCAACAGGGGTGGTCGGGTGGTGCAGTGGTAAAACTCTCGCCTTTCATCTTGCCGTCCGGGGTTCGATTCCCGGAATGGATGTGAAAAGGTAAGGGGTCACCTGCCCGACCACGTGGGTTTTCCCGGGTACTCCAGTTACTTCCCACACTAAGACCCATCGCGCGCTTCCGTCCGGGTCACCAAGAGTGATTTATATAAGTTGGAAAAACTTTTTCGTAATTGATGTAAAAAAATAATAATAATAAAGATTACGTTATATATATACAGCCTTTTTCAGCAATCTGCATGGTATGCGCGATTATTTCAATATCTAATGTAAAATTTTCCATTTCTTGAGAGTAACAACCGTGCATCCCCAACCTATGGTGTTTACATTCGATTTTACAGCTAATTTGATATTAGACTTGTTCTCAATCACGATTTTCATGACAGATGTCGGCAATTGAAAAGAAATTCAAAAGAAAGATTTTTGAGAGATGCAGGTTGGTGATGATGACGGGGAAGATTTACAGTCGTCCAAACGTTCTCATGGGGAAATATTAAATTTTCTTTTGTGCTATAAAGTTTAATGCTCGTTAGTTTGCCTGTTAATTTCCGTTGTTGTATATCTTGTTCTCATTTGAGAGCGAGATATTACCTATTGACTAAGATTTACATGGTAGATGTCGTCGATGAAGCAGAAAACGCTTATTCTTCGGAAACACCTGGTTTTATTCTTCTCACACATGTAATTATCCAGGAGTCTTTGTGTAAATCTTTCTTTTGTCCATATCTTGCCCTGGTTTTATTGACGTCAAAATACTTTTACTTTAATCGTAAAGAGTTCAGACTTTAAAACATTTCTTTCTGAAATCCAAGATATGATTGGTAGAATGAAGCTATTTCTATCAACGCAACTTTCCCATGTTTACAGGTGAAATATTTTCGGAGACTGTGACGGTGAGTGCAGAACTTCCGGAGGCTACCTCAACGCAGAAGAGAAGTAACCACGTTCCTTTAGTTACGCTGTTGGGAATATCTGGTGGGAGTATCGCCGCTATCCTAATAGTCATCGTTGTTATCATTCGTAGACAACACATCCGAAGTGAGTTATGGGCCTTGTCGATGTATATGTAACTAATGCTGCACACTTTCGTTTTAACGCCAATTAGCCGATATTGGTAGAAAGACTTGTTACCAGAATTTGACAAAGTGAGGTATTACGTTAACACGTCTACCTGTTAAATGGTCCCTTTATCCATTTACATACCTTTGTATTGCCATAAAATCACTGGTTCGTCCCCAAATAATCCTCAACACAATCTTATCACGGACCATCACTGTTTTTTTTTATTATTATTATTATTATTATTGAATTTGATATAAAAATTCATTCCTTAACATCAACACATCTTATTCTGTATTCGTTTCAGATTTTCTGGTAGGAGTTAAGCTACACAGAAGAAAGATTCTGGTCCTGGCAACAAACGATAGTGATATACACAGCCAGTCGGTGGAATGTTTTACTTACTGTCTGCAAACATATTGTAGATGCCATGTTGACGTCATCACCGGTGACAGCAAAGAATCTTTCCGAAACGTCGATATGGTCACTTTTGATGTGGTAATTGTCATGCTTTCTCAGAAACTTCTGACGTTGCTGCAAGAAATAGAATGTTGCTGTCTGAAAAACAGAAGACTTTTAGGGACTCGGCGGTCAGTTTTAGTCCAAACATTATCAAAACTGGTTGAATCAGATTCTGAAACCAGTGGCAAAGTCGTGACCGTACATTTCAACAAATCGCCAAAATTGCAAAATTTCAAAAACATTTTATCGGCGTCCAATTTCCACATTAGCGATGATTTCAAAATCTTGTTATTTAAAATTCATCATTCTAACCAAACCTTACCGAATGTTTCACGTGAGTGTTCAAAGATGATGAAGCAACTTCAAAACACGGACAAATTCAGTGAATTAAAATATCTTGTAAACTCTGTGGAACAGTTAGAAATGTCAACAGAGGAAGTCACTGCCTCCAAGATCAGATTGCAGAGTTTGAATGTAGATTCGGGCCTAGCGTCTTCAGTGTCACGCGTAAGCATAGCTGTTAACACACAATCGAGGTCTGATGAAAACACTGATGAACTCAGCAGTTGTTCTGTATGGTCGGATTCTGGAAGGAAACATCATGACAAAAACAGTCTTCATCACTCTAACGAATTATACTGTAGCAAAATCCCAGACTGTGCATACGATAGCAGTAGTCTGGCGACAATTGGAGAGTTCAGTGTTTGATTTTCGCAGAATGTGGAAAAACGGGATTAAGTATGGTAAAATTTCTCTCTCCAAGTACCCTCGTTGCAAGTGAATGTGCAAGAGAAAATATGCAGTCACACCTCAACAGAACAAGCTGGATGTGATTTGGCAATGAAAACTCGCTAGCTGCTTCTGATCCATGCTTTCACCACCTCTTAATCAAAACGATTTCCCGGTGAAAAAGGAATCAAGACATCGTGACGGAACCAGTTACATCACCCGAATGAAATTAAAACAAATTCCAACGGCTTTTTTTTTATGTCCGACGAAGATTTCTCTTAACATGAATGTTGACCTTTAGTCCGACAATTTTATTTAAAAAGAAAATAGGTAAAAATCTGAATATTGACATTAAATTATTCTGGTCTTGGTAACTCCCTACCTGCTTTAAGGGAAACGAATAACACAAGATATCCCCCAGTAAGTGTCTTTATATACACCATGTATCTATTCCGAGAATGCTTGGGAAACAGCCTGCTGGTAGACCGTAGTCATCAAAGTTTGTCGTAACTATCTGGACGGTTGGTTAGTTAAAAGTTTAATATCGGCGTTCACCATTGTACTTGTAAACAGTGTTAGGAAGAAGGTGTGACTTTCATTCACGCCTCTATGAGTCTAAGACACTGCCCATTCGATTCAGAAACTTTGTTATGCTGGGGTTTGGTCTCTGGAAAGAACTAGTGTATAGCATGATAACTCCAGGGTTCCATGATGGCAATCGTCCATGGCTCGACTTCGACATTCGGTGGATATGACCCCGCACGCTTAATTTGATTAATTTGAATAGTTGTACAGTTTAGAATAGAAATAATTTGATATAAAAGCTTATCAAATTTACAGAAGTATGTGGGTTGGAGTAAATGTTGCCATATACTATATCAGTAAAGATTTAAATTCTAATGAACCAAGAAAAACACTAATTAACCTGGTAACTTCAAAGTTATTATCATTTTAACATATTCACGTCTCCATTTCAAGAAGAAATAGGTGAACAAATCTATATACAACCCTTAAGACGTGTCTGAATATCTGTTTAATTCTGGGTAACCCCCTTTTTCAATAATTGAGAGATATTTCTTTCCATGCTCGGAAAATCCTGGTATACACCGCGATTTAGGAAAACTGAAGAAACACAGCATTAAAATCATAACAAACATTAGATATCTTTATTATTGTTGTCAACATAATTATTGCTCCATTCAAATGACATCATGAATCACAGTATATAGATAATAATGATAAAACGTGATGATACAATTAAAAAAAAAATACAGAAATGAGAATGTGTGACATATGCTTTAACGTCTAATACAAACTCACTTTTTTTCTTTATCACATTGTAATTCAGTACAGATCTAGCACCATGTTAATCTTTGACTCAAATTACCCAATTTTCACACCAATAACCTCTTAATTCCCATCCATCCATACACCATTTTGATCCCGGAGAATTGCTGCCCTCGTTTTTACTCTGTCAGTATGTGATGCTATAGCATTAAGCTTGAGAGCCGATGGGGGTAGAGAATGTCCAGACATGAAACATTTAGCTTCACAATAAGCTTCTAGGGACTTGCATTATGCTAGACGTCAAACAGAATTTCACCATCAAAACGATGCAACAATATCTCGATTTTTGTCATACACTCCATAAAATTCTGAAACTATTATGGGATATGTGCAAAGCAAAAAAATGGCAAAACAATTTAGCCCTGTGTGCTCTTTATACTAAAAAAGACTTAATGTAAAGAATATTATATTTAATTTCACAATCACAAATCTAACTGGAAAGAAATTTCACAATGGCCACGGTCTTTCATTTTCAGCCCCCAATGGCCGTCAATCATATCGCTACAGCATCTGAAAGAGTGAAACAAAGGGAAGTAACTCTGGAGATCAGAATGTGGTCATTCATAACATCATATGATTTTCTGTTTGTGATGCAATAATTTCTTTTCTTTATATACTAACCAACATCAACAAAATGTTTCACATGTGTACACTCCAATTATAGACTTGTTTTCAGGAGGATATGACGATTAATTAACCTGAGAAAGTTGAAATCCCCAAGGCCAATGTATTGATAAATCATTATATTAACCGGAAAACAGATTGATAACTGTTTTATCATATGACATTATTCACAACTTTTTTTTTACATTACAACGTGTTTATATCCTGTCATTGGATAAAGTGGATAGAAAGAAAAATTAGTGACTGATGGGAGAAAGAAAATGAGATGAATATGACAATAAAAAGTAAAAAATAAAAAGCAATGAATGATCTTATATTGATTAAATTTTTAAAAAAAAATGAGGCAAAGCCACGATTGGCCGAGTTGTGGGATGTGTGCAATGTTATATGGACAGTTAAGGGTGTCATCTTGGATTTTTCACGCCAGACTGTTGAAAATGACTAAGTTCTAAAGCCTTGAAAATCAAGAAGAAAAGTCCGGAATGAATCCTAAATTAATAGGTGCACATCTTCAACATATATTTAAACATCCTATAAAATTTGAAGCTTCTATGTCAAAAACTCTAGGAGTTGAATCTACAAAACTGGTACCCCTTTTCCCCGCCCGTTCGCCCGACATTCACTATACTATAACCTGGATTTGCACTATGTGCAACCCGGCCAATAAAACTTAACATTCACTAACATTTTGAGACTTGACAGTAGACAATGCTAATCAATTGATCAATTTTAGATAATAGAGACGTCTTATCATCATCATTGATTGATTTAATGGATTCATACATTTTGTCATTTTTTCAGCCAGGTGATAAGAATTAGAGTCAGCTTATCAGTAAAATGGGGAAATAACAAAATCGAGATTAACATAATTAATGCTAGAAATCCCAGAGAGATCTTGATCCCCACAACTGTTTGATCTTAATTCTTCTTTAAAGGTTGGATCTTTTTCTTTCTTTTCTCTTCCTTCCTCTGTCTGTTTTTTTTTTACGAAATTTGAACTTTCCTTTGAAGAAATATTGATAATAATCTGTAACTGCAAAATTCAGTCTGTCAGCCATTTTGTTCATCTGATCAGTCCGAAAATACAACAGGCATTACTCGGGACCAAGGGGAACCTACATATCAAATGTGACAGCGATCTATAGAGTACCTCTTAAGTAATAGTATTAAAAAAGCTCCTTGTAAAAATGCAATATGGGCATCTGTCAGGTATTTTGTTTTTCTGATCAGTCCCAAAATCAAACGGGCACAACTGAGGACCAAGGGAAACCTACATATGAAATTTGAGAGACATTTATCAAGTTCTTCTCAAGAAATAACAAAAATTGTTTACAGACACACAGACCTGTATGATGGGTTAAAAAGTTTGGTAAAATACTGATCTAACATGAAATTTAGATATTTCTCCACCCACTGAATATGTTATAGCAAAATCAAAAGAATCATGGTTTTTCACTGGATTTCTTGTTTTATAACTCTGAATATTTGCTTTGTAAAATTCTTTTGTCATTATCAAAAAAAGTAAGATATTTCTGGTTTTAAGCCATCTTGCCCACATATAACACAAAGAGGTCACAGATATTTCAGTTTTGAAGCCATCTTGCCCACATTATCCAAGGGTATAGAGTAGATTAAAATCTTATTAACAGAACTTTTTCATAGACATCTATTTAAATGTATGAATTATGTATTATACTATAATTTGTTGTTTTCTGGAACCTTTACATTTCAACTGTTATCAAAAAGATGTTTATTCAATGAGTGCAGTGGTTACCACATCTGTCCACATATACAGAGTGAAATAGTTTGTAAATATTCACAAAAAAATATCATACTCACAGAATCCGTATCATTTAGTTATTCCATCCGACATGTAACTGTAATGTTATAATAACTTGAGTACTAACCAGATTAAGAACACTATCATTCTCCTGACAAAACTTTGAAATTAAAATAAAACTTCAGTTCATGTCTCTTTCACCTGCTCCAGTTGTGAGAGGTCAGGAAGGTCACATCCTGTGTAGGCCTTGTTTTCTATGCAGTAATGTATTAGTGTTTGCCAATACTTATCCTGTAAAACGAAACCAAGCAGATTAATAACTATATGTAACTTTCTAACTACTCTGTCAACATTTAAACATGGTCGCAAAATTTCACCAAAAATAGTTGATGAAATCACCTTATTTGAACGTAAAAAGTGTGATTACAAGTGTGCAATATGATAAGTCAACAGTTGTAGAAGAAAAAAAAACCCAAATAAGTCAAATCAAGAAGCTAAAGGTTCAGGTCATCATCAAATGGTAGCCTCTCCTCCAAGCATCTTAAAATATCAGCACTCATGGACTTTTGCTTGTTGAGAAGAAGTCGTTTGTATATTTTAACATATTTGACCCCTGTGACCTTGAAAGTGGGTTGAGGTCATTCATTTGAATAAACTTGGTAGCCTTTCCTATCTCTCAACACACGTTATTGTAAGAGAACCAATTGATCACCACTGATAATCAGGATCCACTGGGCCTGTGAGACTTATATGTACCTGTGACAAAATACTTTCCTGCTGTTAGAGAATAAATGTATTTCGAATGAGACTTAGCTCAGAGAGAACAAATGTATTTCTAATAAAACCTACCTGTGAGAGACCAAGTGTATTGCCAATTGGTCTTACCTGTTCAGACTTACCTGTGAGAGAACAAACAGATTGCCAATATAACTTACCTGTGAGAGAACAAATGGATTGCCAATATAACTTACCTGTGAGAGAACAAACAGATTGCCAATATAACTTACCTGTGAGAGAACAAACAGATTGCCAATATAACTTACCTGTGAGAGAACAAACAGATTGCCAATATAACTTACCTGTGAGAGAACAAACAGATTGCCAATATAACTTACCTGTGAGAGAAGTTGCCTGGGCCTTCCAATTATTGAGAAGAAGTCGTTTGAATGAAAAGTTTACAGACGGCGCACGGCCAATATAACTTACCTGTGAGAGAACAAACAGATTGCCAATATAACTTACCTGTGAGAGAACAAACAGATTGCCAATATAACTTACCTGTGAGAGAACAAATGGATTGCCAATAATGATGAGGAGACATTGGGCCCTGGAGATGGCTACGTTGAACCTTTTTGGATTGCTCAAGAAACCAAGAGCATGCTTTATATCAAACCCTATGAGACGTTCATTGGATCGTACCTTCAAAAAAGAGAACTACTTTGATTGGAGAATTTGGAGAAAGCTCACCTTGTAATATATTCATATTTAGGAGATACTGATTATTGAGAATTATTAACATCGTTTATTTTTTAAAGAGAAAATTAAAAAATGTGTAAGAGCCCTTTTACATTTAGCTCCTGCATTCCCTAGTAAAGTGAAGACATGAATCAGTGACAGGGTACAGACATTGGTGAGAGTCCCCTCTACTCACCAACAGATACAAATCTTTCAGTTTATATCCACTTTAAATACTGACCGTTGATATGATGATGACCCTTCTCTCCTGACCTTGGAATTCCTCCACTGACCCAACCTTGACCATATCCATCCCAAGTTTGTCAATCAGCAGGCGAATTTTCTCCACCTAAAAAACAAATTTTATGTAGATTTAATCATTCTTATATACAATGATTCAGTCGATATTCAGTTACAACTTCAATGAATCCAGATCTTGTTAAACATTTAGAACAACAGATTAAACATTTTTGGTTCTATGTGGTTTACCTGTTTCCTATATGGAGTTATCACTCCCACATCTCCGGTAACCACACAATGTGTTTCATCTCGCATCAGTCCCTGTAGGTACTTTACCACCTGTACAGTTTCTGCTGGATTGAACCATGATGGACTATCTCCTTCTCGAGTATCCTCACCCTAGAAACATGTTGTCTCAAATTAACTATTACTTTGGCTTTTTTTAGAATCATTTTAAACTTTGATTCTGCAATTAAATTGACCAATGCTTTTTTTTTTAATTTGAAATACATGTCGCTTTGGTAACATTGATTTTCCTAATCTATCTTATGTTTTCAACTTTCCTAAGGAATGGGTGTTGTGTCTGACATTTTTTCTTTTTCAACATTCCTCTCTATTTCACACATTAATTTTTCAGGTAAAGTTGAGCTATGACTCCTGTAAAGGTTAATTGTGTCAGCTGACCAAATTTAGGAGCAAAACAAACAGACAGTGATCAAATAGACAATTGTAACACAGACAGTGGTAAAAACAGACAGTGGTAAAACAGTCAGTGGTAAAAACAGACAGTGATAAAACAGACAGTGGTAAAAACAGACAGTGGTAAAAACAGACAGTGGTAAAACAGACAATTTAATACAGACAGTGGTAAAACAGACAGTGGTAAAATAGACAGTGGTAAAACAGACAGTGGTAAAATAGACAGTGGTAAAACAGACAGTGGTAAAAACAGACAGTGGTAAAACAGACAGTGGTAAAAACAGACAGTGGTAAAATAGACAGTGGTAAAACAGACAGTGGTAAAATAGACAGTGGTAAAACAGACAGTGGTAAAACAGACAGTGGTAAAATAGACAGTGGTAAAACAGACAGTGGTAAAAACAGACAGTGGTAAAACAGACAGTGGTAAAAACAGACAGTGGTAAAATAGACAGTGGTAAAACAGACAGTGGTAAAATAGACAGTGGTAAAACAGACAGTGGTAAAACAGACAGTGGTAATACAGACAGTGGTAAAATAGACAGTGGTAAAACAGACCGTGGTAAAACAGACAGTGGTAAAACAGACAGTGGTAAAAACAGACAGTGGTAAAAACAGACAGTGGTAAAATAGACAGTGGTAAAACAGACAGTGGTAATACAGACAGTGGTAAAATAGACAGTGGTAAAACAGACAGTGGTAAAATAGACAGTGGTAAAACAGACAGTGGTAAAACAGACAGTTGTAATACAAACAGTGGTAAAAACAGACAGTGGTAAAATAGACAGTGGTAAAACAGACAGTGGTAAAAACTGCAATTGAAATACAGACAGTGGTAAAAATAGACAGTGGTAAAAACAGACAGTGGTAAAAAAGACAGTGGTAAAAACAGACAGTGGTAAAAACAGACACTGGTAAAACATACAGTGGTAAAACATACAAATGGAATGGAACCTACCCTTATCCCATGGAAGAGGACTGGAAAATCTTTGTTGGTCAGCATGTGCCAATCACACAAGGCATGTGTGACCTGTTTGTCAGCTTTTTCCCTTAGTTCATCATGATAAAACAGTTGTGATGACAATGATAGAATAGCTGAGTGAGAACGATAGTTGTCCACTAATTTTGTCACCTAGAGAGAAAAAGAAAACTTATTTCAGTGTAGAAGAACATTCCACCTATACCATGAACACTGGATGGTGTGATCATATAGTGTGTTAATGAATCTGATTAGGAGTAATTACCAGGAGAGGGTCATAACAGCCATGGTCAGCAAACATGCTTTCATTTCTTTGATACAATGGTGAATTTATCAGCCTTTCAAGAAAGGAGAGCTCCAGACCATATTTCCGTGAATGTTTGGATCGTAAAACCGGTCCAAGTTGCATAGGGTCTCCCGCCAGTACAATCTACAAGGAAAGATGACATCATCAATAATGGTGAATCAGAAGATATATAAAGGTAGATACAGGCAGCCATGTTACAACAGACAGAGGTCAATTAAGGCCTCCCTAACTGTTTCACCTACAACTCAATGAAAAATTACAGAGTGAACTTTGGTTTGCATCAGTTAAGCACTTTTAAACCTGAAAAATAATCAAACCTGAGTGAGCACAATCATCCATCACCATGGTAACAGATTTTCACTATTGAATCAGTTGTCCCCCAATTTCCCAAAAATCTTAAAATTTCAACCAATCAGCAGACTCACATGTGTTGTCATAGAAAACCTATGAAACAAATTTTGATAAAATCTAAATGATTCCAGAGTTACCAATTTTTTCTACAATGAACAGTGACCAACCAGTAACTACAAGTGTTAAAGCAACAATATTTTTCAGATAAGAATGGTGTTGGGCATGTACATTTGTATGGGAGAAACTTGAAGAAATACTGTAGAAATGAAAGAGTTGACAGAAAAAACAGATGGCTCTATGGCTACTATAAGGAACCTTCTTTTTATGCGGCACATTTATAATCATAAATTGCTAACAGCACAATTTGTAAAACAAATGTTATTACTCTGTATTATAACTCTCCATAGAAGCATGCTGTAAATAGATATGGCCGTTATTTATCATGAATATTTGACTCCGCACCACAGAACAAATCTCTTCCCTTACGGAGAAAGCATAGATCAAATTAAAGCCAATCTACCCAAGCAACGATCAATCACCAAGGAATCTAAGACATACAATAAAAAGAATTTACCTAAAGAGTTTCCTCCGGCCACCATCCTGTACAGAATCATAAATACACCATGCACATTACTTACCTGACCATCTGTTCCGGCCACCATCCTGTACAGAATCATAAATACACCATGCACATTACTTACCTGACCATCTGCTCCGGCCACCATCCTGTACAGAATCATAAATACACCATGCACATTACTTACCTGACCATCTGCTCCGGCCACCATCCTGTACGGAATCATAAATACACCATGCACATTACTTACCTGACCATCTGCTCCGGCCACCATCCTGTACGGAATCATAAATACACCATGCACATTACTTACCTGACCATCTGCTCCGGCCACCATCCTGTACAGAATCATAAATACACCATGCACATTACTTACCTGACCATCTGCTCCGGCCACCATCCTGTACAGAATCATAAATACACCATGCACATTACTTACCTGACCATCTGCTCCGGCCACCATCCTGTACAGAATCATAAATACACCATGCACATTACTTACCTGACCATCTGCTCCGGCCACCATCCTGTACGGAATCATAAATACACCATGCACATTACTTACCTGACCATCTGTTCCGGCTACCATCCTGTACAGAATCATAAATACACCATGCACATTACTTACCTGACCATCTGTTCCGGCCACCATCCTGTACAGAATCATAAATACACCATGCACATTACTTACCTGACCATCTGTTCCGGCCACCATCCCACAGGGTATCAAACATTCTGGTTCTGTCGCTTGGCCTGACTAATAAGTAAGAAATTTTTAATTAAATTTACAGCTAATGAATGACTTATATTTGCTTTGAACATTAACACAGGTCAGAGTGATCTATATCAAAAAAGTCTTCCTCTCAGTTAACTACAGGTCAGCAACTAAGCTTACAGATATTTGTACCCTAGGATTTGTCAAAGATTCCCTTGTTCTGTAATTGCCAGTAAAATATACCTATAAAGTTATGTTTTGAAAAATCTGAAAGACAAAAACAGTTTAGCTTATTGAAAGAGTTTTTTTTAACGGAATCTTCTATGTAGACAGAGTAAATAGCATTAAAATGAAAAATGGCAGAAGCATGCAATAAGATCCCATTTTACACTGACTGATCTATATAACAAGTCCCTCAAGGAAAGTGACACAAAACTTTCATGTTCAATCAAGGAATCATGAATTCTCCTTGGTGAAAGATACCTGTGTTGCCTATACATCATTCAACCACTCATTAACATCGACCTTAAATGTCACTAACCAACTAACCTCATCTACAAATACATGGGAGAAGTGACCAGCCTTGATCCCGAGGGTGTAGAGAATTCCAGCGGAAGCACAAGTACAAACCACCACACGGTAGTGACTGGCAAGGTCAAGATTATCACCATAGCAACAATATGGCTTCACGCAATCTGGAACAGTCTGGAAGTGACATTAACACAAAAACAACTATAATGTCATATTTGTCCTATCTATAATCTACTGATAGCTTTTTCAAGACAATCAGTCATTTTCCTAGTAAACCTTCTTTTTGATATTACAAGTTTTTAAAAGTATAAACCCCATGTTTTAAATCAGTGCCACACAACTGAAGACCAGAAAATCAGGACAAATACATCTCTTAACATCACAAAGGTGTTTAAAGTGACACAAATGAGTTCTGTAAGTGGTTATGTTTAATATCTCGTCACACTATTTTTGACCTTAGGGTCCATGGGATTACAGTACATCCGAAAAAAAATTGGTCTATTCCTTACCAACTTGTAAAAATGTACTAACCTCCATGTTTCTCTGGGCAGCGTTTAATCGCACCATATCAGATGTTTTTACTTGTCCACTATCATGTATCCTCTCTGCCTGGCAACACAAGACATTCACTGTTTCCAGCATTATATAAATACAAAATTTTTCTTGTTAGATCACATTTATTTACAGTTGTGGGATCATACAATGTTACAGACGATGTACACAGACAATGTACACACAATGTATGTACACAGACCATGTCCACACAATGTATGTACACAGATGATGCACACACAATGTATGTACACAAATGATGTACACACGATATATGTACACTGATGATGTACACACGAAAGATGTACACTGATGATGTACACAGACGATGTACACAGATGATGTACACAGACGATGTACACAGATGATGTACACAGACGATGTACACAGATGATGTACACAGACGATGTACTCAGACAATGTACTCAGACAATGTACACAGACGATGTAAACAGATGATGTACACAGACAATATCCATATGATATATGTACAATGTGCGTACAATGTTCTCAGTGCATTGTGTATTACCACAACTGTACATTATTCTTTAATTAGAGCAAACTAGTTTCAATATGAACAATATCTTCTTTAAAACAAATGTGCACTGGACACAAAAAAAGATAGTACAAATGAAACATAAACCATAGCTTTATTTAAATTCCTTAACGACATGAATCAGGTAGTGGGTAGGACAATATTCTCACCATCAACATGAAGCAATCATTTAATTTATATTAAAAAGTTATTCTCCTTAAAAGATATCATCTTAATTATAATAGTTTAATAAAAAAAAATCTATATCTAACTTTACTATAACGCTGCTATTTTATTTTCGTCTGAAGACTCATGTTTTGAACTGTGATTCATATTGATTTTAATATTGTGATAACTTAGCAGCAAAATGTGTCAAATTAATTCCGCCTCTTTCATGATTTCTTACAGATTGTGTGTATCTTGTATGTATGTAGAGTAATAGAAGATTTATATTGAGTGTGAAATATCATTTTCATGTTTTGCTTCGAGACTCTGCCATCGCCTGCATTCTCTTTTACAAGTACTTAAAGGACTCCCACAACTTAATCAGCCAATCAGCAAATGGGATTCTGTTTTACCCAGTTAAAGTTCGTACCTAAATTGAGATTTGGTCAAAAATCTGCAAAGTCAAATTCATAATTTATAACACAAGAAAGAAATCTGCATTGATTGGGCTTCAAGAAAATGTGTAATTTTAACACATTTCAATGTATCTGAGTTGGATTTAGACAGGTGTAAAATATCTGGGCTTTTCCCTAAGAGGATAGGTAGTTTCACCTGTAAACTTTCGAATGCTGACTTCTGGAGGTGATGGCAGTCCATAATGCCATTTAACCTACTAAATTATGGCATATATAGCCTTTGACAGGTATATTTCTATGAATATAGATAGTTGTGACCTGTGTTGAACTATTAATGCTATGTGCTTAAATGCTATGTAATGAGATACAGTGGTTGATTTAGTTGAGTGAGATACACTTTGACACCATAAGGTTCTTACTATAAGGTCTGCAGCACTGTTGGAAGGGGTACAGGCCAGGATCCGACTTGAAGACATCTTCTTCAGAATCTGAATTATGGCTTCCACTACTGTCATGGTTTTTCCAGTCCCTGAGAGACAAGAATATCAATATTCATGATTTGATATCGGACCTAACTTTAAACCACAATGTAGGTCGAGAGTGAAAACAACACAAACAGCTCCTCCCCAATTCACAATTTATTCTTATAGCAAGTTGTTGACATGTTTGGGAACCAACTTAGATACGTGTTCGTGTTGTCTTCACTCTCGACCTACATTCTACCCTTGTTCAGGTTCTCGACCTACATTCTACCCTTGTTCAGGCTCTCGACCTACATTCTACCCTTGTTCAGGCTCTCGACCTACATTCTACCCTTGTTCAGGGAGGACTCGGTATACACTTGTATCCACGGCAGTTCCCGGAATAATTTACTGAATATCATCGATTGTGGGATGTTGTGCTTCCACCTTCCGGTGTTTAAATCACAATGCATCAGGGAAATGTCCTAAAAATATTTAATCAAAATAATACAACACTACTTATTTTATAATAAGTATTGTACTTTTAATCTGTGATTACTCCTCAGAATTTTATGAGTACAAAACTCACTAAATGAAAACGTAATTACCATGACAACAGAGTATAAACTGGGTCACTTTAAATAATTGATCAGATATGGAAATCTCCAGTTGGAGAAAATTCTGATAAACTAACATCCTGTTAAATTCATGAGTGTTGAGGTTTATTTTCTAGACTTCAGGAGGATATCTAGTGGTATACAGACTTCAGGAGGATATCTAGTGGTATACAGACTTCAGGAGGATATCTAGTGGTATACAGACTTCAGGAGGATATCTAGTGGTATACAGACTTCAGGAGGATATCTAGTGGTATACAGACTTCAGGAGGATATCTAGTGGTATACAGACTTCAGGAGGATATCTAGTGGTATACAGACTTCAGGAGGATATCTAGTGGTATACAGACTTCAGGAGGATATCTAGTGGTGGTATACAGACTTCAGGAGGATATCTAGTGGTATACAGACTTCAGGAGGATATCTAGTGGTATACAGACTTCAGGAGGATATCTAGTGGTATACAGACTTCAGGAGGATATCTAGTGGTATACAGAGGTTCCTTAAAAGCAGTAAACAATTAAAAAATTTAAAAGAAGATCACCAACTCGTACAACCAGGTAGGCCCACCTTGCTTCAAGGTTTCTGCTTTTCTTTTTCATGTGTGAATTGTTCCCGAATTTTTTTGGTTTTATACAGTGGATGACATACATTTTTTTTATTCTGCTGAGTTTCCTTACCTGGAGGTCCAAAGAGAATGTAGGGTAGGGGGCGACACTGTCCCTGTAAGATGCGAGTTACAGCAGCCTTCTGCTGAGCATTAAGATCTGTGTTGTAGTAGGTCAATGACTGCACTTTGTGAGATGTATGTTTTTGTGAGTTGAGAGGAACTACATCTGCTCTGCTTTTCTTTGAGGTCAGCATGCGGGACAACTTTGGCAACAGCATGCTGGGAAACAGCACTACAAATCAAACTGACTGGTAAGTCAGAGTATATATTTATCAAATTCTAACAAAGTTACTGCCCGTAACAATCTAGAAAATCTAATGGAAGGTCAAGATATAACATGTACACGACGATAAGAGTCAAAATAACAGTACTACATTGAGATAAGAGGCCCATAGGGCCTGTATCGCTCATCTGGTGAAGATTGCTGAAACTGATTAACTTAAACTAAAGGAAAAGTATTTGAAACACTAATATTCCTTCCAGCCAGGTGAGCTAAAAATCAAGACGCTGTAAACTTAAACATCACACAGCTTTTATTAGTGATTTCAGAAGCTCAAGATTTACAAATTGAATGCCAAGACTTAAGAAACATGAATAAGTCCTCCACTCACCGTTTTCACCCAAATTAACAGCAAAGTTTATCGCCTGATGGCATCGTCTCAGAGGTGTCCTAGTGATACAACAAAGGACTGATGACGAGTTATTTATATGGGAAATGAATCAGGTTTTCATATCTATAACTACCATGTATATCAATATACTAGTATTCCATGTGTGGTCAGGTGGCACAGTGGTGACACACTTGTCTTTCACCTCAACATCCTGGGTTCCATTCCCAGAACGAATGTGAAAAGGTAAAGGGTCACAATTCAAATCATGTGAGTTTTCCTTGCATAATCTATAAGACCCCTCATGAGCTTACATCCAGGCCACCAAGAGTGATAAGTTGAAGTTGAAATAGCTTGTTTCACAATTGTTGTAAAAAAATCAAATTTATATTTGTATACCAAGATACTAGTTGGTGCAGCATCACCAGATTCAGTGTAAGATATCATCTTTATTATTCTGTCAGGAGATCCTTTCGAGTAAAATAAGAAATTATGAGATGTTTTACCTGTTGAAGGTGAAGACGACATTGAAATCCTTGCCGTTATTTGTCAGGTGGAAGTCTTGATTGAATTTTAACAGCACATCTTCACTCATCAGCTGAATCCACAAACATAACAGAAAATTAATGTCTACGAAAAGAAATGTCCATGAAAATTTATGATTTTTGCAGGAAAAACCTCTTATAGGCACTTTGAGATCAATTTTTGACATCCATTCAAGTTATCTTGTAGCAAACTAGATTTCTGGTTTTACATCAGTGACCTTAACCTTCTAATATGATTTTTTTTTGACATTTTAATATAAAACTATTTGTCCTTTATATTTTCAAGTAACATATGGACACAAAAGCCCTTTATCAAGTCTTGATTTGATTAAACAGCAAAAGACATGATTCTATTATCAGGAAAATTATATTGTAGGTGTTTAAACAAGATTAATTCTTCATTTTTAATTCAAATGTAATCTTCAAAAGCCTTTTCAAGCAGGAAAACCCATCAAGATTTATACATTGATAAAAGGAGTGTAGAAACCAGGGAGGATTTATCACACCTCATGAACATATCCTTCATAAGCTGGTCCAATCGAGTCCCCAGGCTCTGTGACGATAATCTTGTCTCCAATCAGGACCGAAGGACGACCTTCAGCCAGACCAGGTACCTTCAGCGCCAGAAACTCACGCATTGGACGGAAGTTAACCTGTAACATATGTTATATATTTGAATACAATTGCTCTGAAACAACGAAAACATTAATTATGAAATATTATACAACAAGATTTGACCTCCTTCCAGTTTCCTATATAGTCAAAGTATTGGCTTGATGAGTAGGCAGCTCTTTTCTAGAGCCCTGAAAACAAAAATTTCACATTTAGAATATCAGTAATTATCATGCATTATAAGCCCAAAGACCAACATACAGAGTCAAAGGGTGGGCTTATTACAGGACAAAAGTCCTGGGGCTGAAATACATGTACAAATTCTGACTAAAAGTCAGGGAGTGGGCTTATTACAGGACAAAAGTCCTGGGGCTGAAATACATGTACAAATTCTGACTAAAAGTCAGGGAGTGGGCTTATTACAGGACAAAAGTCCTGGGGCTGAAATACATGTACAAATTCTGACTAAAAGTCAGGGAGTGGGCTTATTACAGGACAAAAGTCCTGGGGCTGAAATACATGTACAAATTCTGACTAAAAGTCAGGGAGTGGGCTTATTACAGGACAAAAGTCTTGGGGCTGAAATACATGTACAAATTCTGACTAAAAGTCAGGGAGTGGGCTTATTACAGGACAAAAGTCCTGGGGCTGAAATACATGTACAAATTCTGACTAAAAGTCAGGGAGTGGGCTTATTACAGGATAAAAGTCCTGGGGCTGAAATACATGTACAAATTCTGACTAAAAGTCAGGGAGTGGGCTTATTACAGGACAAAAGTCTTGGGGCTGAAATACATGTACAAATTCTGACTAAAAGTCAGGGAGTGGGCTTATTACAGGACAAAAGTCCTGGGGCTGAAATACATGTACAAATTCTGACTAAAAGTCAGGGAGTGGGCTTATTACAGGACAAAAGTCCTGGGGCTGAAATACATGTACAAATTCTGACTAAAAGTCAGGGAGTGGGCTTATTACAGGACAAAAGTCCTGGGGCTGAAATACATGTACAAATTCTGACTAAAAGTCAGGGAGTGGGCTTATTACAGGACAAAAAGCCATGGGACCAACACACTCTGAATCAAAGTTAGGGTGTGAGTTTACTTAAATACTGTGGACCTTCAATAATCCAGATAATACAATTCTATCCCGATTGAAAGTTTTACAGCCTTATAGCATCAGGTGTACCTGTATATACAGTATATTGGTTTATGGAGGTTTAGTAATAAATATAAATATAAACTTTATTTGTTTTACAACAATTGCGAAACAAGTTATTTAAACTTATACTAATCACTCTTGTTGGCCCGGATGTAAGCGCGCGAGGGGCCTTATTGTGGGAGGAAACCGGAGTACCCGGGGAAAACCCACGCGGTCGGACAGGTGACCCCCTTACCTTTTCACGTCCGTTCCGGGAATCGAACCCCGGTCGGCTAGGTGAAAGGCGAGTGCGTTAACACTGCGCCACCCGACCACCCTAAACCCCAGGTTTAGTAATAGATATATGGTCCTTATATAGATACATCATTTGTCTATCTGTGAAATATATAAATATTCTTGTAGATAATTATTTATTTTCAATATATTTTCTTGTTATTTGATTCCACTTCATATTCAATAACTTTGGTTAAAGCGAAATTGATTTCATTAAGAACATTTTAATTATGGAATACCCTTTCCAGGTCAAACTCTCTGATGTCGATGTCCATCTGAATCTCCTCCAAATGCAGCAGAGCTTGGAATCTTGCAGTATAGTTCTCATATACCAGGTCCTGTACCACGTAAAGAAAAAGAAAAAAAATTGCAAGAATGGAGATTTACAGAAACATTTCAATGAAATACAACTTGGAAACTGTAATAAGATTAGAAATAAAGTGCCATGAAAACTTCAATTTATCTCAAATAACATCAAGCTATTAAAATTCTACGGGTCAAAATAAATATTTCTTAATTAAGGATATATGTGCCCTATAATCTTATCTGCCATGACTTCCTGAAGAGCTCTCTTTACATAAGCTTTATTACCTGTTCTATAACTGGAGCCACGTCCTCCACATCCTCGCCTTCAAGGATACAGTCTTGTAGTCTTTCTGGAACTGGAAACATCGGCAGACGACAGGGAAGATATAACTTACGCCATCCCATCCTATCAAGAAATCCACAGTATATAAAAAATAAGAAGCAAGGTACACCAGTCATTAAAGCATGAGACATATAGAATAGAACTTCTTATAACAAAATCAGTTGAAGGTTTGAGTGTGATGTTCCTATGTCTACATGGTCGCCTTCATCTTATAACACAACCAGTAGGAGATTAGAGTGTGACGTTCCTATGTCTACATGGTCGCCTTCATCTTATAACACAACCAGTAGAAGATTAGAGTGTGACGTTCCTATGTCTCCACAGCCACCTTCATCTTATAACACAACCAGTAGAAGATTAGAGTGTGACGACGACTACATGGTCGCCTTCATCTTATATTACAACCAGTAGAAGATTAGAGTGTGACGATGACTACATGGTCGCCTTCATCTTATAACACAACCAGTAGAAGATTAGAGTGTGATGATGACTACACGGTCACCTTCATCTTATAACACAACCAGTAGAAGATTAGAGTGTGACGATGACTACATGGTCGCCTTCATCTTATAACACAACCAGTAGAAGATTTGAGTGTGACGATGACTACATGGTCGCCTTCATCTTATAACACAACCAGTAGAAGATTAGAGTGTGACGATGACTACATGGTCGCCTTCATCTTATAACACAACCAGTAGAAGATTAGAGTGTGACGATGACTACATGGTCGCCTTCATCTTATAACACAACCAGTAGAAGATTAGAGTGTGACGATGACTACATGGTCGCCTTCATCTTATAACACAACCAGTAGAAGATTAGAGTGTGACAATTCTAAGACTACATGGTCGCCTTCATCTTATAACACAACCAGTAGAAGATTAGAGTGTGACGATGACTACATGGTCGCCTTCATCTTATAACACAACCATTAGAAGATTTGAGTGTGACGATGACTACATTGTTGCCTTCATCAGACAAATATGCCCAGTTAGATGTGTACTAGCACTGATGAACACAGTATTCGAGATGGTAAGGAATCAACTATTTTGGAATAATCTCAGTATGCTTTGTGGAATGATCTTTAAGTGCAGATTAATTGATCTAGGACTGGGAAAGTTTTCATGTTACCATCTTGTGTGTTTTTCGGTCTGTAATCTGTTTACTTTCTCATCACACTTTTTTCGGCATTAGTGCACATAAGATTATGTTACAGCCGAAATGTTGGCCGATTGTGTACCATCTTGTATGTCAGTGCTAGTACCCTTCATATTTGTCATTTGTCTGATAAACATAACCATATAGCTAGTCATCGTAACATTACACTCAAATCTTCCACTGGTTGTGTTATAAGGACTTTTATTCTATTGACATTACTCATCTGAAGGAAATATTCCAAAATAAGCAGGTAGACATTAAAAAAAAAAGATTGAAACTAAAAGAAATTCATTGAGCCCTCTTATTGGATTTGCACGAAAGGAGTTTTAATTTTGGTGAATTTTGCAATGATGTACTTTGTCAGAACATGATCTTTATGTATTTTGGGAATGGGGCCCATGGTTTTGACTGTAGGGTTGACTGAATGTAAATCAACAATGAACCAAATTAATCAGGTCACCTAAATAAACTCACAAACTGAAACAAACTGAATGAATATGTAGTAGAGAGAAGAGAAAATGAGAAGTCTGTTTGTACAGGGACATAAGGGTTTTACCTAAACACCCTTATATCCATCAAGCGTATTTGATTCTACTATATTTGTGTATTTAGAGGAAATTTCGTATTATTTGAAAAGTGCTTTTGACTTTGAACTAAAATTCATCAGAAATATAGTATCTCATCGTGCAGTAATGTTAGATAATTTGATTTATATTGAATTTAAATATCTCAATTGATTTTTTTTTTTTTTTGCTAAAAGGCGATTTTATTCTTGTTATATCTGGAATGAAAAAGATTAGTATGACTTTATGCCATTTCTGAAGAAATGTGTAGTTATCTTGTTATCATAAGCTTATTCTCACAAAGTTATCACAGTAGAATACTTATGTGTATACCTGGAAGGTTTTTCTCCGGGGACAGTCCAGCCTGTTGGTGTACTAACTGACCTTCGATACCTAGACAATGCATTTCTGTTCTGCTGTTGGTATTGTGGGCCAGAAGCCACCAGGTTACTGTAAGCATCCTGTATATTAGCTGTGATGTAGCGACCGATTCGAAAGTCCTTAAATGTGACGACAAAAAGCTGTTTCTCCAGGCCAACCGATCTTAAAAACAAACAATTTACATTTGCAATGTTTTTGACAGCTGAATTCATTTATGTTACGTGGAAATAATATTTATTTTTCTTTTTGATTTTCAGCCTAAATTTTTGGGATATCTCACTCAAGCATGGCAACGCTTGCTGATATTGGTATTTGACAGCATACCACATAGAAGATTGTCATATAATAAAGAACTTATTGCACCAGTTAATAATTTTTGTACAAAACATAATTCTTTTATTTCTTCGCCAAAAAATGTTGATGCAGCATTTTCATTACATTCACATTTTACTTATTGGCATCATACCTAGGCTCCAGGACTATATTTATATAGAGTGAGGCTGCTGGGTACAGAGTTATGTCCCCTGTTGCAGGCTGGTTTCCTGCAGCCATTCTGGCACCATGTTCCTGCAGTAACTTCACACTCTCCACTCGTAATTGTGTTGCCTCCGCTGGAAAGTGGCATCTCTGAAATAACTGGGGTGATTTCCCCTTATTTTCAATCCATATCAACATTTTCTTTGTTTCCCCAATTTTTATATCTCCATAGTCATTTTTCATGGAAACCACTATTCCATTTTTGTCTCGCTGCAAGTCCTCAAGGAAAGATGACTTTGTAGGACTAACTAGAAATTTAGCACTGAAAAATACAGTCATATAATGTTTATATTTTGTAAAAAGTAATTCATGGTCTACTATTGTCAATCAGATTCTGGAAAAAATATATTTTGTATCAAATAGCTAAACAAAAAAAATCACATTACTGAAATACTCTAACTCACAGAGTTTTTTTCAATGCATGATATTAATTGAAGGTATGTAACTTTTAGACTTAAATGTCAGATGAAACTATCTTAAATTTTGAATGACTTGAATTTTCAATTATCTTGTTACTTTGCAATGAATTGTATATTTTGACCAGTATAAAATGACACATTTCTAACCTCTAAAAACAATCCCAGCATCGATATGGGGAGACAAGCTGTGATATTAACTTCAGACACTTTAATTTACACATACCTGGGAGTATAAGATGTTGTTATCGGCTCTACCCTGACAGCACGCCAACTGTTTTTTCCCTGGGCACTCTCTATGGCAACAACCTTGACCTTGTCCCACTGTTGAGGGTGCCACTCTTCTTTACATACACAATAGTTGAAGAAGATTTCTCCGTCAATGTATCCATGGTTCTGTAATGCTCCAGTGACTTTGCCTTCTCTTTCCTCTACACGTAAAGGTTTGACATTCCGACCTTCAATTTGGCCTGTATTGGTTTTTGTAATGTCCACTGTGACATAATCTCCATTACAAGGACAGAAATGATCTTCCCTAACATCACTTTGCTGGAAAGTGAAATGAATATAACCATTAATGAACCCTTCTGTACCTTTAAAATTGGTTACAACACCAACAACTGCATCAGGTTCTGAGAGATCCTCAACAACATCATCTCCATCTTCATCCCAAAAATCATTACAAAGAATCACTTGTTCTGCATGCCAGCCTCCATCTGAGTGTTGTTGCTTGGCAACCCCTGTCACATTATCACCTACTACTGGATATTTATCACCCTGTACTGCATCAAAAGAAAAGTAAATTTCTTTGTCTATCAGGCCGTGGGTATTATAAAGGTGTGTCACTTTTCCATCAATACTTTTGGTCTGGGCAGAAGAATTTGATATACTTTTATTTTTCTCAGCGTCATTTCCGGTTTTTGGAGAAGCAACAATATTTACATTATGGCTATATTCTTCCTCTTCTGTCCAAAAGTAGCTCACAACTTTACCTAGCACACTGAACATCACATTTGTGTGGTATTAACACCATCTGAAAATTTTACAGAAATGCATACAATCAGTAAATGTTCACTGTGATAGCCAACATGTTGGACACTCTTACTGTCAAATGAAGCTATGATCAGTGATTAATTATGATATTTTTTATTAACTTTACATTCAATATTTACGGAGGAGGAAAACAACAAACCTGCAAAAGGTAACTTTAACAGTCTGTGGGGACGGACTTGTATGTAATATCCTTGATTTTGTTGACGCTTCCCTAACTAAGTCAAGCACTTGAAATTATTGCATTGAAACATACGGTTGTCTAAGTTCAGGAAAATGAAAACACTTTTTCAGTTATTACGGACGAACTGTCAGCGGCTAGCAGATTGTTTCCACATGCCTTCTCGATCAGCCAAATTGGAGTCTCATCTGCGTTTCAATTTCGCGGGGTCTGTCACTAAGCGTTTCAGTGATATTGCTGGAAAATTTCTAAAGACGTCACATCCGTTTTGGAAGGAAATCTTTGTCTGTTTGTTATTATTTGACAGTGGTGTGATTGGTTTTGTTAATCTTAATTTTTCAACATTATAGTGGACATTCTCGGCCTAGAAAAGGTAACTCAATATTTAGTGTGTCGATTTTTGCCAAATATACCTGAATATATATCGGATTTATTGGTAAAGTGTTATTCATAATGCCCATGGGGTCTTCGCTAAAATATTACGCATGCCATGTTGCTATGAGCAGGTCATTTTCTTTTAACAATAAATGTATATTTATGTATCAGAGTTTACTTAATTAGGTCTATTCCCATCATGCAAAATTTTCGTATAGTGTAATCTTTTTGATGAGAAAATATGGACTCAATCACGTGTACTACACTCGACTGTACGAAAAAATACGCAGATAATGGGTACCAAAATTGAAACGTCACTAAATATTTTATCTGTAATCACAGTATACAGGATTATTTTATTGTGCTGATCGAACTTTGGATGTGGGCCATTTTCTTTATTGGTTCGCAAGAGATATGTCCGTAAAATTGCACTTTCCTAATTGATGAACCAGCTGATCAACCAAGATCACTTGTCTTTTGACCAAAATGTATTGTTTGGCTTCTTAATTCCCAAATGTGCATTACGTATATACTTCCCTTGTTCCAATTCTCTTGTTTCTAAGCATATAATTATGCAATAATCTTGATTTTTTTTTGTGGGTTTTGGACATTGCTGGTCAATATTGTTACATCATTATCCGGACTTTCATGCACTTATAGGTGTGTCGATACACGTGGTTATTTATACAATCGTGATGTCATTATCATATGTCAAAGAGGATGTTAATATTTGACATGAAACTTTTTCCTGTTTTGATTTCATAAAACATTTCTTGAATAGGAAGCACCATTAGTCTCAAGTGATTATGTTTTAGATAGTCTAAGGAAAAGGATGATGAAACAACCATTTACAAATACATAACATATGTACTTCATTTTTCACCTGGTCTCTCCAAAAGGCTTCCATCTGGATAGTATTTCCCATCATCCATTAATAAGGGTACATACAGAATTATAGAAGTTGTACCAGACTTAAGGATTTCAAGGAATTGTATATATGTGTTGTTCTGGATAAATTGTATTGCACACTGATTGATATGATGATATTTGAGATTTAATCTTCTAAAGAATAAACAAGAAAGACTTATTTTGCTTTGTGGAGTTATTATCCAACACAGCAGCAACCCCTACTCCCTTCCTCTCCCCTCTTCTCCCAACCCACTGTACTCCAGGTATTAAAAAATAACACCTTCTTGTATATAATTATATCAGGAAAGAGAGAGATTTGACACCTTTCTTGGATGTTCTTTTATTAAGTACAATTTGTATTTGAAATGAATGAATATCAGTTTAATTAACATCCACTCAGTTAGTTTCTAGCATATTCATATACATTTTTTTAAACATGATATTCAACTGTTTGAATATATTGAATGTTAATAAATTTGTCAATGTTCATATTGCAGTGACAATCTTCAATTTGTTTTCATGAATCTTTTCAACTTGTTTATAAAATAATGGGTCCTGCAATATCAAATTTAAGTATATTTATTTCTAGAAATTCTGAAAGTCCCAAAAATATTCTACCAGTTCAGGACTCTTAACTCGCATATAGATTGATCATGGATATTGTAAATTAAAACCATTTTGCAAATAGATTTTTTAAATGAATAATTTCTTAATAAAAGCTGTCAACTTGACAGAATTATCAGAAACTCTTTCCTTAGGTCTATAATCTGGTTTAATTTGAAGCCAAGATGTTCCAGTCAGTAGATTATAAGTGTATGTTTAATGTTCCTGTTTCAGTGGATCTGGTGGTGTAGAGTACTTCAGACAGCCAGGGAGACAGAAATGTCTGTGGAGATGAAAAGTCAGGATTCAGATAACGATTCTGACTATGATCAATCCGATCATATGGACGAAGATGATGAGGATTTTTGTGGTTACTATGACAACGACACAGACGACCTTGACATTGACAGGCCAAAAAAAACAGATGATCCAGAATATTTTGAATATGAACTGTTGAAAGTTGAAGATGTTGAAAGATTGCTCAATGAGGATGTAGAAGTTCTATGTAGCTATCTTAAGGTAAATTCTAAACAATACACAACATCATTTGTCCAAGATCATTAAATTCATGAAACAGTCATTTGAATGAGTTCACTGTCATCATCTCCAAAATTGATAATTGATACATCAAATTTATGTAATATTCTTGGAAACAAGGACACTTACCATCTGGCAAATGATACTGCCTGTTATCTTTATATACTTAAGGAACTGCAAAGCTGTCATTGTTCTTGTGTTTTTAGGTAAATCCACATCTAGCCATTGGTTATAATAACTGTCATTGTTCTTGTGTTTTTAGGGTAAATCCATCTCTAGCCATTGGTTATAATAACTGTCATTGTTCTTGTGTTTTTAGGGTAAATCCACATCTAGCCATTGGTTATAACTAATGTCTTTGTTCTTGCTTTTTTAAGTAAATCCACATCTAGCCATTGGTTATAATTAATGTCATTGTTCTTATATTTTTAGGTGGATCCGCATCTAGCCAAAATGCTGCTCCAAGTCCATCATTGGAAGAAAGAATTAATTATGGAAAGGTGAAAACAAAGTAGTTTACACTTAAAATAACTTCTGACCTTAGTATGACCTGGAATTTTCTGGTCACATATAAAATCAAAGAATGGTCAAAGATTCTAATTTGACGTCTTCTGGTATTTTACTCTGTCTAGACAGTTAAAGAATTTGATATTTAAGAAGAATTATGCTAATTATATATCTCTTATTGATCCCTGATTGACAGTATCAGCATTTTCAAGCAAAACCAAAATAAATGAAATTTTACTCTACCTTCCTCCTCCTCTTCTTCCTTCTCTTCTTCCTCCTCCTCCTCCTCCTCCTCCTCCTCCAAAATAACAATTTTTTCTTGATTAATGATAATTGTGTAAACACCATAGATATTGATACATTGTAAAACCTGAAATGAAAGTTTTGTGATTGTCAAAATGAACTCAAATATACACTTTTACCCCAAAAACAACTGCATTTCTGTTATTTCTCAAATTCTGTTTTTTTTTATTGCGATCCCATTTTGTCTTGTGTCATAAACTTTATCATTTTTACTTCTTCTGGAAAACTCCTGAACCAATTTCAATGAAATTTTTCAAATATCTTCCATGGCTTATGGTGCACCAAACTTGTAAATTATATGGTCCCCAACCCCAAGGGGCCTGAGGGGCAGGGCCAAAAAGTGTCAAATTAATTGAAACTTCAAAAATCTTCTTCTCAAATCCCAGGTATGGTAGAATCAAGTTCTCTACATGGATGGAAAGGCCTTCACATGCTTTACCAACATTATAAATTTCATGACCCCAGGGTGTCACATTTCCCATTGGAGAGGGGGTAAAGTTTTGTATAATTTTTATAGGAAAATCACAATTTTTAACATTATTTGTTTATTTTCTATTGGAAATAGTTCAAACCTGGATAGAATTATTATTTTAAGAAGACAGTTTAATGAGATGCACATATCAACCTTGACAAACTCCCAGGGGCTGATAGGCAGTGTTAAAAGTGGGTCAAATTGGCACATATCGACCATGACGAACTCCCAGGGGCTAATGGGCAGTGTTAAAAGTGGGTCAAATTGGCTGAAATTTCAAAGACATTCTACTGTTCCTGAATGGAAGATTTTATGCAGGAAAATTCAAATCTTGAGTGAAATTTCTTTTAATTCAAACTTGGTTAGAAGCTTTAGCTTGGGACAGCAGGTAATGTATACACAATTTAGATTTGTATTATGTATACAATATAGTTAAAGTTATATAACTCTTTTTAACAAAATCATTTCTATGACGTGTTACAAGAACCATTGTGACACAGGTGACCATTAAGGCCCTTGGGCCTCTCGCTTGTTTTGTATTTGTATTTGTCCCCAAAATACACCAAAAGGTAAAGTTGATGTAATCTATGAATTAAGACATACTGTATATATGTACTTAAGGAGAAACTGAGCAAAAAACAATGAAGCTTGTTGGCGTATGTTGTTAGAATCTGGAGATATTGTATGATGGATATGTTGGGGTGTTCAGTATGTGATCTAGATATTTATCAAGTGAAATGTTGATGATGATGGTGTCAGAGAGTTATACTGTAGCTTATGTGACATAATACCGCAGAAAACAGGAATATTGGTAATCGGAAATGGGAATATCGATTGCATCAATTATATTATAAAATTTTTTAGTTACATTGAGTGTGTGTATTATATTATATTAAATCATCAATACCTTCTGGAGTGATATTTACTGTATATGTTATATTACCAATATCTCTAACATTATATTGAGTGTTTAAATAATATTGATTTCTTTTAGAGTTACAGAAGTATACATTATATTACACCATCTTCCATTAGAGTTACAATGAGTGTGTGACCCACATATACATTATATTACACCATCTTCCTTTAGAGTTACAATGAGTGTGTAACCCACATATACATTATATTACACTATCTTCTTTTAGAGTTACAATGAGTGTGTAACCCACATATACATTATATTACACTATCTTCCTTTAGAGTTACAATGAGTGTGTGACCCACATATACATTATATTACACTATCTTCCTTTAGAGTTACAATGAGTGTGTGACCCACATATACATTATATTACACTATCTTCCTTTAGAGTTACAATGAGTGTGTGACCCACATATACATTATATTACACCATCTTCCATTAGAGTTACAATGAGTGTGTGACCCACATATACATTATATTACACCATCTTCCTTTAGAGTTACAATGAGTGTGTGACCCACATATACATTATATTACACCATCTCCCTTTAGAGTTACAATGAGTGTGTGACCCACATATACATTATATTACACCATCTTCCATTAGAGTTACAATGAGTGTGTGACCCACATATACATTATATTACACCATCTTCCTTTAGAGTTACAATGAGTGTGTGACCCACATATACATTATATTACACCATCTTCCATTAGAATTACAATGAGTGTGTGACCCACATATACATTATATTACACCATCTTCCATTAGAGTTACAATGAGTGTGTGACCCACATATACATTATATTACACCATCTTCCATTAGAGTTACAATGAGTGTGTGACCCATAATATCAATTTTCTTCTAGAGTTACATTGATTAGCTTCCTTTTACAGATACAAGAGAGATCCTGCTAAATTCCTTGTGGATTCCAAAATTACACCAGCTGTCAAATACAAGGTAATTTTATAGTTTATTAAACTTACTGAACGTAAAATTCACCTCTATAGTAGATTGATTATCTTGTAATTATATCCAGACATCACAGATTACGGTAAATGTATCATACAGGTTACAGTCAGTGTATCATACAGGTTACTCTGTCAGTGTATCATACAGGTTACTCTGTCAGTGTATCATACAGGTTACTCTGTCAGTGTATCATACAGGTTACAGTCAGTGTATCATACAGGTTACTTTGTCAGTGTATCATACAGGTTACAGTCAGCGTATCATACAGGTTACAGTCAGTGTATCATACAGGTTACAGTCAGTGTATCATACAGATTACAGCCAGTGTATCATACAGATTACAGCCAGTGTATCATACAGATTACAGTCAGTGTATCATACAGAGTACAGCCAGTGTATCATACAGGTTACAGTCAGTGTATCATACAGATTACAGCCAGTGTATCATACAGGTTACAGTCAGTGTATCATACAGGTTACAGTCAGTGTATCATACAGGTTACTCTGTCAGTGTATCATACAGATTACAGTCAGTGTATCATACAGGTTACTCTGTCAGTGTATCATACAGGTTACAGTCAGTGTATCATACAGGTTACTCTGTCAGTGTATCATACAGGTTACAGTCAGTGTATCATACAGGTTACTCTGTCAGTGTATCATACAGATTACAGTCAGTGTATCATACAGGTTACAGGAAGTGTATCATACAGGTTACAGTCAGTGTATCATACAGGTTACAGTCAGTGTATCATACAGGTTACTCTGTCAGTGTATCATACAGGTTACAGTCAGTGTATCATACAGGTTACAGTCAGTGTATCATACAGGTTACTCTGTCAGTGTATCATACAGGTTACAGTCAGTGTATCATACAGGTTACAGTAAGTGTATCATACAGGTTACAGTCAGTGTATCATACAGATTACTCTGTCAGTGTATCATACAGGTTACAGTCAGTGTATCATACAGGTTACTCTGTCAGTGTATCATACAGGTTACAGTCAGTGTATCATACAGGTTACTCTGTCAGTGTATCATACAGGTTACAGTCAGTGTATCATACATGTTACTCTGTCAGTGTATCATACAGGTTGCAGTCAGTGTATCATACAGGTTACAGTAAGTGTATCATACAGGTTACAGTCAGTGTATCATACAGATTACTCTGTCAGTGTATCATACAGATTACAGTCCATGTATCATACAGATTACAGTCAGTGTATCATACAGATTACTCTGTCAGTGTATCATACAGATTACAGTCAGTGTATCATACAGGTTACAGTCAGTGTATCATACAGGTTACAGTCAGTGTATCATACAGATTACAGTCAGTGTATCATACAGGTTACAGTCAGTGTATCATACAGGTTGCAGTCCATGTATCATACAGATTACAGTCAGTGTATCATACAGATTACTGTCAGTGTATCATACAGATTACAGTCAGTGTATCATACATGTTACTCTGTCAGTGTATCATACAGGTTGCAGTCAGTGTATCATACAGGTTACAGTAAGTGTATCATACAGGTTACAGTCAGTGTATCATACAGATTACTCTGTCAGTGTATCATACAGATTACAGTCCATGTATCATACAGATTACAGTCAGTGTATCATACAGATTACAGTAAGTGTATCATACAGGTTACTGTCAGTGTATCATACAGGTTACAGTCAGTGTATCATACAGATTACAGTCAGTGTATCATACAGGTTACAGTCAGTGTATCATACAGGTTACAGTCCATGTATCATACAGATTACAGTCAGTGTATCATACAGATTACTGTCAGTGTATCATACAGATTACAGTCAGTGTATCATACAGGTTACAGTCAGTGTATCATACTTTTTTTGTTTGATGACCTCCATATCAAAGTTCTTTTAACTTTACATTTATTTATTGAAAACAGGAAATGTAAGGAGCTCTTCTGGCATACAAAAATAAGTACAATATCCTGATGTTATATATGTCGATCATTTGTTGTGTCATGGCCTGAAGGAGGTATTAAAAGATTGATTTTACTTACAATTATTTTGTTCTAATCTGATTGTGTTATTTTCCTGTTGAACAGAGTGCACCACTTGGGCTACAGAACACATGTTCTGTATGTTATAAAAAGCTGACAGCTGATCATTTCTGTCACCTTAGCTGTGGTCATGTGTTCTGTAGGGAATGCTGGGACAGCTACTTCCAAGTTCAGATTCAACAAGGAGTTACATCAGGTAACGTAAAGTTAGATAGATCCAACAAGGGGTTACATCAGGTAACATAAAGTTAGATAGATCCAACCAAGGGGTTACATCAGGTAACGTAAAGTTAGATAGATCCAACCAAGGGGTTACATCAGGTAACATAAAGTTAGAAAGATCCAACAAGTGGTTACATCAGGTAACGTAAAGTTAGATAGATCCAACCAAGGGGTTACATCAGGTAACGTAAAGTTAGATAGATCCAACAAGGGGTTACATCAGGTAACGTAAAGTTAGATAGATCCAACAAGGGGTTACATCAGGTAACGTAAAGTTAGATAGATCCAACAAGGGGTTACATCAGGTAATGTAAAGTTAGATAGATCCAACAAGGGGTTACATCAGGTAACATAAAGTTAGATAGATCCAACAAGGGGGTTACATCAGGTAACGTAAAGTTAGAAAGATCCAACAAGGGGTTACATCAGGTTCCAGAATACAAAGAGTCCAAATATTTCACCAGTAGGTCTTCATATAAATGATCTTGGCATACTTTCAAGGTCACAGGGGTCAAATATTTCAAATTTTGTAAAGAATTTTTCTCTACAAGTTCTAGTCACAGACCATATGATTATTATATCACTGTTAATTGATTCAACATCAATGTGAGTGATACAGGCCTGTTTAGCCTCTTGTTCAAAATGGCTTCTTGGTTTATATTGCTTAACAGCCAATCAAGAGCTAGGGTCATTTAGCGATAGCAACCCAGTGTGTTCGTGATAAGTGAGTGTGATAAGTGAGCATGTGTTGAATAGATAAGTTTTTTTGAGGCTGCGATATGTACGTATAAGCATCTTTGTGGTAGTGTGGAGCTGAAACAAAATTTATAGTGCTATCACACTGAAGCATATTGTCAAGTGCCCTCATTAAAATAACCCGCTAAAATGGCTTCTAGAAAATAAGCTAAGAATATGATATGCAGACAACCACAGTGCAGGGATATGCAGTCCCACTAGGCTGTAATTTCAATGAAAAAATCAAGTTAAAATTTTCATAATTTTCATGTAAATAGTTCAGATATAGAACCATTCAATGACTTAATAAGTTATAAGTAAATTATTAATGATTTTGTTGTATGGCTGTAGTTGAGTGTTTCACTGACGATTTTCAGCAGTTTTTATGTCATCATATCCTGCTGTTAATATTTTCTTCATGCTGAGGAAAATAAAGATTCATCGTAATTTCATTGAGGATGAATAATGTTTACTTTTGTTTCAAAAATGTATTGAGTGTTTGAAAGTTATATCATAGTCTTTATCATTGAAAAGTGATCATAAAAGATTTAACACACAGGTATTGAGTGCATGGAAAACAACTGCCACATCTTAGTACCAGAGGATTTCCTTTGTCGATCCCTGTCCAAACCCGAACTCCGTGACAAGTACACCAAACTTTCTTTCCTGGATCTTGTCAATGTAAGTATAAAAAAAATGGGGCAAAGCCACAATTGGCTGGTTCGCGGGATGAGTGCAATGTTATATGGTATTTATAAGACACTTAAGGGTGTTCCATTTGTTGAGTATGTCCGGAATGAATCCATAATAGGAAGTGCACATCTTCAACATATATATAAACATCCTTCTAAGTTTCAAGCTTCTACGTCAAAAAATCTAGGAGGAGTTGATTCTACAAAACTGGTACCCCTTTTCCCCGCCCGCCCGACATTCACCATACTATAACCCGAATTTGCACTATGTGCAACCCGGCCAATAAGCAGTTTCTATGTTCATTCTTTAGACAAACCAAACCCAACATTTTATAGTAAGGTTGTTTACACTGTAAAAATTCCTTTTTTACGATGTGAACTTATCTTTACGCTGAAAGAATAGAGTATCGGTCAATTTTCATAACCAGAAACATGATGTTGTTATGAATTCCCTGATGAACTTGATGTTTTTTCTGGAGTCCCTTTGTGTTAGCGGAAACTCCAGCTGAAATTATGTATGTGTATTATAATGCAAGAATCAAAGTTTACATGCAGATATCGCTGGGACAAGTGAACTTGCTCCAAGTCACACATTATGTGGTAAAAACCTAAGGAATCTTTAATTTAGTATTCCTATTTTGATTTAATATCTATTTTGACAGACACATCCACAGCTGAGATTCTGCCCCGGGCCAAATTGTTCCAATGTTGTGAGAGCCAAAGATACAAGGTCTAAAAAGGTTGACTGCGCTCAGTGTAAAACCATATTTTGGTGAGTACAGGATTGAAATAATTAGGTGGTAATTCAGGAAAGTAAAACCAAATTTTGATGAGTACAGGATTGAAATAATAAGGTGGTAATTCAGGAATGTAAAACCATATTTTGGTGAGTACAGGATTGAAATAATTAGGTGGTAATTCAGGAATGTTTGTTAAGGAACTAGACTAAGTGTCGTTTGTGAAAAATGTAACTATTTACAATATTACAGACCTAATGTAATTACTATCTTCCTTGTCTTAATGTGTGATTATTGATTTTCATGAATTGGATTTCATAATGAAACATGAAAGGAAGTTTATTAACTGTATCATTTGGTACTTAAGGAATGATTAAACAATCTTATGTCTTGTAACATAAATAAATCAACCACAATGCTTTTGGATTCAGCTTTGGATGTGGCATCGAATACCATGCCCCGACAGACTGTGCCACCATTAGGAAGTGGCTTACCAAATGTGCTGACGACTCAGAAACGGCCAATTACATTAGTGCTCACACTAAAGATGTAAGTGTGTTCTAAAAACCTTGAAATTCTGAGAAAACATTTTGTTTATTTTTATGTTTTTAATACTGCACAATGAACTTACAAGGATCAGTGTCACATACGACACAGTTCCGTTCGAACATATTACACAAGAGGCATTTCAAACCATGCTTTGCTTTTGTAGCTTTCTATTGTCAATTCAAATCTTCATCTCAGTCCTTCATTGGTCATTTGGATTTGACCTGATTATAATGAACTCTTTGTCATATGCCTTGTTCTGAGTAGTATATATCAGGTATTTTAAATGTAATTAACAGTTTTCTTGTTTATTACTTATTGTGGAAAAAACATACATAGACGTATAATGTATACATTCCGCTATTAGGGGCTACTTACGTTATCTCAATTCAACTCGCGATTAATTTACAGTATACATAGAGATAACAACACTCCAGTTAACTTCAGTATAGCTGGGAAATTGCAAATTGAAAGGGGGATTTCCCCTGAAACGTTTATCATCACATGCAAAAGGTTTAACCTATTTTGCATCATTATAGGCTGATGTTGATTTCAGTAAGAATTTGCTAAGTACTTTTTCATCCTTTGAAGCCACAAGTTCATTTTCCCCAACAAACATGATGGAGCTTGGCATATCATTTAATATATATAGTCTTCATCTAGGGAATACTTCTTCTTCTCCAGAGTAAATAAGTTTGAGTTGAATTTTATTGCAGGACTGGATGTGCTTTGGCAGACATGAGATTTACACATTTTATTATTTTATATCTGTGTATGTTGAGATTTCTTCAGTTTTAGTGTTGAATTTGTGGATAAATTCAGACAAAATCACTACTGACAGTACTATTTAATCCTCAGTATAATGTAGACCTAATGCATTGTATCTTAAAACCCCAAGTGTTAGGGTTAAAGGTTAAGTTATCTCTTCACATTATAAATGACCATGACCCTGGAATGTGGAGGACGATTGCCATGTAATCCGTTAAAAATTTTTTGCTGCTTTAAGAAAATGGTCTTCTCTGTTTTGTAGTGTCCAAAATGTCATGTTTGTATCGAGAAAAATGGAGGCTGTAATCATGTGGTAAGTTATTAAACCTGTCACCATTGTTCTGGTGAGTGTTCCTTATATAGATTTTTATGCCCTGACCATTATATGATTGGTTGAGAGGTAGTGGGGATGGCCTGTCATGTGACCCCTGCCAGTCCCTTCCTGTATTGTCTTGTTACATATCATTGTCATCTGATGCTTCCAAACACAACTGTGATCTTGGAACATGGTCCAAAGGTTAAGGTCACTGTTACTATTTATAGAATTTTTTAGACATTGATACAAATTTGTAAAGATTGGAGTCATTCATATCTCTCAGACATTTTCTAGTTGTTTGTCGTAGATGATTGCATTATAAAAAATCTATCCTAAAAAAAAATAACCTGGGTAAGTCTTGCATGACTTACCATAGAACAGCATTGGACGGGTAGGTCTTTCTCCTTATAGTAAATCAAATGAGACTGTTATATGTATATTATTCACATGGTTTAGATACTTAGAATACTAGATACTTAGAATACTAGATACTTAGAATACTCGATACTTAGAATACTAGATACTGATACTGACACTGATTTTATAAAAAGAAAAAAAAAACGAAATTGGCATTAATTAATAAAAAAATTATCTTTACTATTTCATAGATAACTTGATAGGGAAAATATGTTATTTTACTTGTCTATTTTACTTGCCAGAGATACATTTCAGAAATTGGATTTAAATTATGATTTGGAGCAAAACACCTCTTAAAATATACCATGTGATTAACGACAGATTGTCATATTGAATATTTTAAATGTGTCATTTCTGTTTTATTTTTACAGCAATGTACGAAATGCAAAAATGACTTCTGCTGGATGTGTTTAGGAGGTCAGTAGTTTATTGCTTGGTATTTCATTTGTCGATAAATTTGACCAGATTAACATTGATTTTGTCGGAGGAATGCATCCTTTGCAGTTTCTTTAGGGGAGAGAACTGTTGATGCTTAACTTTAAATAAAAGTATTCAAATCTGCTCCAGGTTAATAAAGATAGATAATATATATGATAATTTTGACATTATGGTCATTTTCAGCAATTTTTGTATGGAATTGTGTTGTGACAGAGTTCTTGATACCATTGATACATAGGCCTTGAGAAAGGCCACAAAGCACACTTCGTGAATATTAGCCGTAGAACGTTTTGTCAACTCGGTGCATTTACAAGGCTGTGTTACCTTGGCAGATGTAATACACATTCAGTAAACATGGGTGTATTGCTACTGACCGACCAATACTACACAGATAGAGACTAGCAAACATTTATGATAATTTCTCTCCACCTAACTGTGGTTAATCTAAATCCCTTAGATCAATGATTTGGTCATCATTTTCAGATTGGAGAACCCATGGAAGTGAATATTATGAGTGTAGTCGATACAAAGAAAATCCTAACATTGCAAACGAGTCAGTTCATGCTCAAGCCAGGGAAGCCTTAAAGAAGTACCTCTTCTACTTTGAACGGGTAACATTTTTCATTTTTATATTTTATTTGTTAAGAGAATGTTGTCAACTTAAGTTGAAGAATTTGAAGTATAAGAAAATTTCAAGATTGTGTAGACATTTTTTGTTCATCATGATAAGGAAATCAAGAAATTAATGCTAATTACTTAAAAATTAGCGACTTTCATTTGAAACCAACGATGAAAAAATAATTAAATTTTTCATTTTCACCATTCTTTCTCCTCCTTTACTATGTATATACAGTATGAGAATCATGCCAAGAGTCTGAAGTTGGAGGAACAAACACTGTCTAAGATAACAACTCGTATCCAGGAGAAAGTCATGAACAATTCAGGCACTTGGATTGACTGGCAGTACCTCCTTGATGCTGCAGTCCTGCTCAGAAAGGTATGTAAACAAAAAAAATCACTTCAAGGGAGGTAACCATACCATTTACTAAAAATACAAGATCAATTCAGCATTTATTTTAATTTGTAAAATTTTACATCAAATATGTAGCCTAGATAATGTTTTTATAATGAGACTGAAATAATTATCTGAAGAAGAGTATATTTTTATAGTTTCACTGATTATGCAAAATGTACAAGATGTACTGTGATAAACTGAAAAATGTATTATGACATACTGAAAAATGTACTTTGACAAACTGAAAAATGTATTATGACATACTGAAAAATGTACTGTGATAAACTGAAAAATGTATTATGACATACTGAAAAATGTACTTTGACAAACTGAAAAATGTACTGTGACCAACTAAGGAAGCCCTCTTTGAAAGAACTATGATTGAATCAGTATAAGTCAGCAGATTCCTGTCAGATATTGAGATGGATCAGCCTCATTTCTTTTCAACCAGTCTGGCAGAAACAGGAAAGTGCTTATTAAGTAGCTTTCACTATCTCCATGAAATATCTTAACCCTTGTCGTAGACCAGAAAAGCAGTTCACTTTAGAATTTCAGAACAGTACTTTCTTGATTGATAAACACAGAAAACAATTTATCCCACAAACATCACCTGTTAATCAATATTTATTAAAACTTCGATCTTAGGCTAAAAGGTTGCAATAGTGGGCGTATAGTCTGTTCAATAAATGAATACTTTTATCATTGACAGTGTCGTTACACTCTCCAGTATACATATCCCTACGCATACTACATGGAAAAAACAGCCAGGAAACAGCTTGTAAGTACATACAGCACATATTCTTTTTCTTAAGACTCGACTGTTCACTCTAATGAATATTTATAATGTGTTTAAATGCAGATGTATAAAATGTTTTGTTGTTGTTTATCAATTTGAACATTTCAGTCATTTTCGTGTACAGTGGACCTGCAATAATCGAGTTATTGATAGTAGGGAAAACTATGTAAGGAAATTTTTCGGAACAAATTTCGGTAATGTAAATTTGCAATCAACTGTCCAGAAATTCTAATTTTAGTTCCAGAACTATTTTTAAGGAAGGGAATGGACTTTTCATAGTAATATCAAGTCTATAGTCTTGACTTTTTTTGTTACAATGTGTAGGAAATTGTGTTCAGTCAACTGTGTTAGAGGTGGATAGGTTACTGCAGGGCACTGTTTAGTCATTACAACTGCTGTCGGATCATCATGTGATGCATTCACCTGTTGAACTCCTGTCAGAGTAAACAGTACTTCTACACAGGACAAAGTGAATTAATCGAAGGAAAATACCAGTCTTGCTCTGGTCTTGTTTTCGAAAATTTGGCAATGATTCCTGGATTATTTAATATGTGGTTACATAGAAAATTTTATACAGAGAGAAATGTTGTTACTCCCTGTGTAATGCACATCTTCGTTGATAGTAACCTAGATATAACATTTAAACGTAAAGTGTTCATGAGATAGAATAGGGGAAAATTGTAATTAACGCTGGATATGAATTATAAAAAAAAACTTGATCAGACTTTTAACAATGGGGTCATCGTCCCTCAATATTTCCACATAACTAACGCAAATAGACACGACACAGATGTCCTTGTTAGCAGTCAATTGATTCTTATGAAAGTGAATGGAGAGAAAAAAATGTTTTCATATTTCAAATGGCAGTATTTCATTATATTAAAATTTACAAGTCTCAAATGTGAATATATATTTATATGTATGTGTTAATCGTGCGGTCATTCTGACCAACCCAATAAAGCATGAGTGTAGAATACTCCTAGACGACAACAAATTGTCTTCCTCTTTGGATAATTATCAAGGCATATGGTATTCAAAAAGCATGGTTATTAAAGATTTGTTTTGTAAAACATTACTGTTGATCCCGAGCAGGTATTCAATGAATAGTCTGCAATACTGGACTTCATTCGATACAACTTTTCAGAGTTAATACTATATAGACATTCTGAAAAACCACAGCATCATTTAGACAGCTTTATTATCGTGTAATCAAAGAAATTAATGCTGGATATATTGATCACTTGACTGAACTCTTCAGTCTGGAAAATTCTCATCCAGACATTTTTGGCAGAGAGCAAAGTTGTCTAGATTATTGAGTGTCCGCTGTAATCCAACAGCTCCACTTAACAACCTGATCTATGATAATAAATAGTTTGTTTGAAAATCATAATAGCAGTTAATTGTTTATTTTGATGGTATTCAAATGTTTGATTATAAAGTGATACAATCTACATATTAACATGTGGTTATCTATGTTGTTGTGCCGTCCCTTTTTAGTGTAGAAAAAAAAATTCAGTTTCAAAATTTTCAACAGGAATTCAGTATTATTTTGTAGACTTAATTTATGGACATTGGTTTCCATGGGGATGAAAACCAGAATTTAATTTTTCAGGTTTTATGTGGTATGAATTTTATAGTTTTTTTCTTTTCAGTTTGAATATCAGCAAGCCCAGTTAGAGGCAGAGGTGGAGAATCTGTCTTGGAAAATTGAACGTGCTGAAATAACTGATAGAGGGGTAAGTGTTAAAATCTCTCATTCAAAGCAATCAGTATTTTTTTTTACAAACTGATCCTCTCTTGCTTACTATGCCTCAGTCTCTTGTTGTGTTCAATTGTGCACTGAAACGATGTAGGCCTCAAGTATGTCTAGTTATGCTCATTGAAGGGAGAGCATAAAGTTGTCCGTCTGTTGGTCCGTCATAACTTTGTCTGAAGCATCTCACAAAAATTACAAGAGGTATTAACAAGAAACTTCAGAAGGTAGATAGATCTCACTAAGGAGAAGTACAGGGTACAAGAACCATAATTCTCTCATGCATAATTTAGGTGTTTAGAAACTTAGTGTATACATTAGTCATACTAAGAGAATGTGCAGTATACCAAAATTATTGGGGCTGTGACTTCTTAATTACAGAATTATTGCCCTTTGATTAAATTTTGTGTCCATTAAAGTCATTTGCAGGGAGTATTCATCAGCTTCTGTGATGTTCTTGTTACTAGATGTTTCCTAGGCGACAGGATTCGTGTTTTTCATTGTTCTGTTTTACTTGTAGGATTTGGAAAACCAAATGGACATAGCTGAGAAAAGAAGACAGACACTACTCAAAGACTTTTTAGAAATTTAAAGTGTGTTCTAAGTCCACAGTGCGATAAACAAACATTTGACTCCAGTTTATGTAAGCTTGGACTCAGGGAAGGGGTGTTGGGCACCATGAAGCGTGGACTCGGGAAGTGATGGTTGACAGCAGGTGAGGACTCCGTCTTGTACAATATCATCTAATGTTTGAATTCAGGAATGTTTGTGCTCATTGAGCATGGCTTAAGATATTTGTCCTCAAGATAAGTGGTGTTAGATATTTCAGCCCATGGGACACGAATTCACATGGATATGCTCTTACAGAAAGCAATGGGAACCTGAATCCTGCATGGAAAATCAGCCTATCAAACTTACAGACAAGCTGGATATCTTGCCATAAGTAAACTAATGCTTGCGGTGTTGAAGAGGAATGGTAAAAATGTGAAGTGTTTGAGATATACTGGAATTGTTGTTATGTTTGTATGAAACAACACCTTCAAATGGACGTGCCAGGTTCATGTTTGTTTGGGTGTCAAACTATTTGAAGTAATTGAATGTTTTTTCTTTGAATGTATACGTAGTGCGAAAGAAATTATATTAATTTATGTAATCATTAATACAGTCAACGTACAATCAATATATATATATATCTCATACATAGAATGTATGACTGCCAGAATCCTGGTATGTGATTGGTGAAGAGATGTCACATGACCATGCTGCTCTTTGTATTACACCCATTACTCAACTTACTTCTGATGTTGCCCGTCTCAGAAACTGTATGGTGACACAAATCATTTCAGTATGAATACTTACTATTGTAAAACTTGATACGTGTCATGTTTTTTAGGTATGTCTTATTAACCTTCACTGCCTATCAGTTGGTAGTGTGTTTACAGGGTCTATAAAATAACACGCTGACCTCATTACAAGTCAGTAATGGTGTAGTTGATGTAGTTGGACCACTGGTTATAATGGTGTGATTATTGTTAGTGTAAATGTGAGATGGATGTGATTAAGTCTTCTGCAAGGCTAAGCTAACATTGTCAGATTTAGTATAAAATATCAGTATATATATGTATTAGGTGTTGTTAGATTCTAAATCTTCACATATCTGTGATTAGATGATAAAAATCTTATTAAAACTTCAACAATAAACTAAACATTTTTTCTTCTTGGAAGTGATGATCAATTAGAGCAGTGAAAAGTTTGTAGGTGTAGTTAATTTGTACCTGTAGGTACTTTGTACTCGGACTGATATCATGGTCATGTTCTCTTGCTACCTATTGTGTGTATCTAATTTATCTTTTTTTTAATAAGATGTTTCTATAAATTTTCATTAACTCAATGAAATTCAATGTGGTTCTTGATACTGTATGAAATAAAAGAAATCAGAAAATTATATATGAAAAAAATCAAGTAAATTTTCTTTTCTTTCAAGTTAGTCTAAAATGTTTGCTATGAAAAAAGTTTTCAGTTGACAATTTCCAAAAGAATAATCTGTGACTGTGATGTTCACAAATTGATGAGTATCACTTCAGATTTTTTTTTAATAAAGAAAATTATTTGATAGGTTGACATTCCAGAAATTATGATACTAGTGATAAATAGTTATTTATAGCGATTTTTTTACCCGTCTTTGATGAAATTCATGTTATATTATTGGTCAGAATGACATTTCACAGGGACTTGTAATAAGATTATATGACACAGGGACTTGTGATTAAGATCATATGACACAGGGAATTGTGATAAGATTATATGACACAGGGACTTGTGATTAAGATGATATGACATAGGGACTTGTCATAAGATTATATGACACAGGGACTTGTCATAAGATTATATGACACAGGGACTTGTGATTAAGATCATATGACACAGGAACTTGTGATAAGATTATATGACACAGGGACTTGTGATAAGATAATATGACACAGGGACTTGTGATTATGATATGACACAGGGACTTGTGATTATGATATGACACAGGGACTTGTGATAGATGATATGACACAGGGACCTGTGATAAGACTATGTAATACAGATTATATAATCAAAACTATTATGTTTATTCTATTGTTCTAAACTTTTGAAACTTGATTCTGATATTTATTATTGATTATTCCTATTTGTCAGACGAAGAAATGCACAGCTGGTCATAATTCCAGACTTTTGTGTAAAGAAAATCAGTAATTACAAGTTTTGGAGTCATATAGAAACTTTTAAGCACTGAAGAATTTCCTATTGCATCTACAGTTCATCAAATAGCGGCTATTTAAGAGTATTATCATCTGACAGGCATGGCAATATGTTACAGCTTCAAACAACTAATTATAGTGATGTCATAATCAGTTGATATATAATCCAGTACACAAGACCCTGTGTTAAGTTACTAAACACAGATTGACACCTATAGTAAAAACCTAAAGCTATGATAAAATGCCAAAATGTTTGTCCTGTTAAATATTTTTTCCGTATTTTGTGTGATTTATTTGGAATTTTCACGTGACACATTTTATAGTGCCATATACATACCCCTGTAGAGTTTTTTTATTTTTCTTTTGAACATTTTATTCACTGTAGTTAAAACAAACTAATGTTTTCCTTTCATCATGTTTCACAATAGTAATTAACTTATAGAAAGAAACTTACATTCTAAGATTGTATCACCATTTTTATTGAGAAATGAATCCAGAAGGCCAGCACGTAACAAACAACATCTGAGTCAAAATTAGGGAGTGGGATTACAAGTGTTACAGGACAATAAGTCCAGAAAGCAACATAAACCATTGATTCACATTCAGTAGGATCACTGGACAATAAGCCCAGAAAGCAACATAAACCATTGATTCACATTCAGTAGGATCACTGGACAATAAGCCCAGAAAGCAACATAAACCATTGATTCACATTCAGTAGGATCACTGGACAATAAGTCCAGAAAGCTACATAAACCATTGATTCACATTCAGTAGGATCACTGGACAATAAGCCCAGAAAGCAACATAAACCATAGATTCACATTCAGTAGGATCACTGGACAATAAGTCCAGAAAGCAACATAAACCATAGATTCGCATTCAGTAGGATCACTGGACAATAAGCCCAGAAAGCAACATAAACCATAGATTCACATTCAGTAGGATCACTGGACAATAAGCCCAGAAAGCAACATAAACCATAGATTCACATTCAGTAGGATCACTGGACAATAAGCCCAGAAAGCAACATAAACCATAGATTCGCATTCAGTAGGATCACTGGACAGTAAGCCCAGAAAGCAACATAAACCATTGATTCACATTCAGTAGGATCACTGGACAATAAGTCCAGAAAGCAACATAAACCGTAGATTCACATTCAGTAGGATCACTGGACAATAAGTCCAGAAAGCATAAAGTTTGCCAAGAACAGGTCTGCTGGGAGAATAAAATATGTAGAACATTGAGACGTGAAAGAAATCCCTTGTACCCTTGTGCCCTTAAGGACATCCTGTGTATTATCCAATTAATTTTACTTGGACTGATTTTACTAAGACATCTGGCCCCTGTATATAGGTATTCAAATTTAATTTGCCACCTGGCTTCTTAAATGCAAAAACAACCAAGATTGCACGGTCTGTCCTAGTGCATCAATCCCTAGTAACTTCAGTAACATTTGAAATATCTGACAGGTATAACGTTAAAGATAAACACAAAACAAAACCAGTTTTATCTGTAAATGTTTTTGTTATGATGACAAACCATTTAACAGTGATCATGAACATTCAGATGTGCAGTGATATTAGGTTTTTGATACACATTTTCCCTTTAATTCAGTATTTTATTAAAGTCATTGTTAATTGCATCTGCCATACTCCAGAGGTTGCAATCACTTTTGCCCTCAGAGAGTGAAAGTGATTGTAACCCCTTGCGTATCGAGGATGGTGCCAGGGATACAGAGTGAAAGTGATTGTAACCCCTGGAGTATGGAGGATGGTTCCAAGGGTGTAGAGAGTGAAAGTGAGTGTAACCACTGGGGTATGGAGGATGGTTCCAGAGGTACAGAGAGAGAAAGTGATCGTAACCTCTGGAGTATCGAGGATGGTTCCAGGGGTGTAGAAAGTGAAAGTGATCGTAGCCCCTGGAGTATGGAGGATGGTTCCAGGGGTGCAGAGAGCGAAAGTGATTGTAACCCCTGGGGTATGAAGGATGGTTCCAGGGGTGCAGAACGAAAGTGATTGTAACCCCAGGAGTATGAAGGATGGTTCCAGGGGTGCAGAACGAAAGTGATTGTAACCCCTGGAGTATGAAGGATAGTTCCAGGGGTGCAGAACGAAAGTGATTGTAACCCCTGGAGTATAAAGGATGAGCGATTGGTAGATTATCAACTTGGTGCCATTTTAGTGAGATTTTTTGTATGTTTGTTAAGACAAATAAAGTCAGTAATAAACTCACATATAGTAGTGTGATTGGTTTCTGAACATTTTTAATGAAAAATGTCAAATGTTTATCCAAAGCAGATAACAAAATTTGCTATCCATTTTAAAATAGTAAATAAAAAAATTGACATGTGAAATATTTGAAATCAAATTGATCTTAATCATTACATTTGATTATTTCTCCACCAATGCTAGTAGTACCTTTATCACCATGCTATATAAATTCCTGGCTTTAATCGAGTTTGTTTATAAGAGCTTTGGTGGTATGTTTTTAAGACATTGTTATCGTCCATTAATATCCTTTTCTATTGGTGTGTGGTGATCATTGATTTAATTGAATGACTGTTGTTTTTGATTCATCTGCTTAGTACCTAAATACTTAAAAACCAGAAATAATCAAAATTTGGTGATTCTGTCGATGCCAAAGAAGTGCAACAACAGTGGGGGGTTTTTTCAAATCATTTTTAAGCAAAGCTGTTTGATATTTTTGATCTAAGGCTGAATGCAGCTATTTTTTTTTAGTGACATGGCTCCATAATGTTAGAGAGGTAATGGATTTTTTTTCCTGTATTTTCTTTAAAGAGAAAGAAATTATATATCACTGTTACCACTTTTACGAAACAGTTTTAGGATTTTTTGAGCATGGGTCATTCAAAAGGTTAAGTATAAGACATTGTTTGACATATTTAGGTACTAAGTAGGTATAAGTAAGTTATATTTGTTTATCATGTTTTTTTTGGTAAATGATGACTTGTTATCAAACTTGTATAGATTTTATCATGAGTCAGTCATACAAACAGATATAGATATGGTTGACCACATGTCCTTTGTTTTTATAATGAGGGCATGTTGCTGTCGTCCCACGATTATTAATATGCCCACACGGTGAATTAAATACAAAGAGTGTCACATGTTGAAATCAGCGTGTACAATATACAGGTCATACAGTAAGAATATATCTAATATATATATCCAGTCCACTCCATTTTGAAGAGCTACACATCTGGTGGGATTTTATTACAGATAAAATCACAGGGACTTGGAATGAATTCCCAACCCACAGCCCATATATACTCTAATATGTATGGAATGTGAGTTAGGAATTTGTGTGATGTTGCTGTGAGGACAGCGAGTCGCTGTGGTAACGATGAATTGTTGCAGGGGTAATAAGTCGCTGTAGGGACAATAAGTTGCTGTGTCGACATTAAGTCTCTGTGGGGACAATAAGTCATTGTGGGGATAATAAAGTGACAATAAGTCTCTGTAGGGACAATGAGTTGGAGTAGTGACAATAAGTCTCTGTGGGGACAATAAGTTGCTGTGGGGATAATAAGTCACTTTAGCGACAATAATTGATGAAGACTATTTGTATTTTCCTTTCATTTGTCAATTTTCATCTTCTCTATATTATTCTTTTTTGTCTCCTAGAAAAATACTGTACTGTCTGGACTTTTATAAAACCTTTTTCACCTTGAGAGAGTGACAGAGCGATGTCCTGTTTCTAATGTATAGTTGGATATTGTAGTCTCTTTCTTACCTATTACCATGTCTTATTTATTTTTTTGATTCATTTGTTAATTATGGATAATGTGAAGTATAATATATAAACCATATTGATCATTCTTTTAAGTTTTGTTGATGTGTATTTAGTATAAAATGGAAAAAAATTTTGAGAAAAAAAAATAAAAACAAAAATCATGTTTGTGTTTTTCTGTTGTCTTTAATACAATATTGTTTATTAAACTTATCTATTTTAGAATGATTGTAAACAAATTACTTTATTCATTCTTGTTGGCCTGGTTTGAAGTACATAAAGTGTAATTACTTTATTCACGCTTGTTGGCCTGGAGTGAAGTACATGAGGAGTTATTCCAACTTACTTTATTCACTCTTGTTGGCCTGGAATGAAGTACATTAAGTGTTATTCCAACTTACATTATTCACTCTTGTTGGCCTGGAGTGAAGTACATGAGGAGTTATTCCAACTTATTTATTCACTCTTGTTGGCCTGCAGTGAAGTACATGAAGTGTTATTCCAACTTACTTTATTCACTCTTGTTGGCCTGGAGTGAAGTACAGTCTTACTGTTGGGGTAAACCTATGTAGTCAGGCAGGTGATCCCATACTTTTCATGTTCATTTGGGAAATTGAAGCACAGGTGCCTAGGTGAAAAGTAAGTGTATTACCACTGCGTCACCTGACCACCCAATATTGTCTATAAATTAGAAGATTTTATGACAGAAGTGTAAACAGCATGGCGCTTTTCCATAGTAATTCAACTGACAAAGAATCTCTGTTAAGGGTGTTTTTTTTCCTTCTAGTTTTTGAAATATATCTTTTTCCAAAAGAGTTTTGCACCAAGAGATAAATGAAACAGATTTCATGAAAATGACATCTGATAAATGGATGAAGAAGAAAACAAGAAATTCTTTTATTTTACAATTTTGTATTGCGTAACAAAAATAAAATTACTGTTTATATATATATTTATGCTTACATATATACAAGTTACAATAAAACTATCACAGAAACATATTTAAAACTGAATTTCTTCGACTTTCCTACAAATGCTGCATCACCTTACAGTAACTGATGTGAAGCATTTCTAGACCATTTCTGTATAACAAAACATGATTATCACACAAATAGTACGTAGTAGCAAATACACCTGTATTGAAAACAGAACCACCTTTATAATCAACACCAACAAAGAATGCCAGATATCTGTACGTATAAATAACCCCAAAAAACCCATTCACTCAGAGATTACAAAATTACTCATAATTCATAAGAAAATATTTACAAAATAAATAGATTTCTGATGTACAAAACCTGTTCTCACGATACATTTGTAGGCATTTGAAAATTGACCTATATAAACATATATAAATCTTAAAAGATACGATTAATATCATCACAATTTTTACATATGTACAATTGTATATATATACAGCTATACATTCACGACTGATTCAGCATATTTTGAATAACATATATGATAACTTTATCAGTAATTAAAACAACTACTTTCATCATATTCTCTTGCACATGTCCCATTTCTTTAATCAAAGCTCAGTCCAACCAAATACTGTGTAAATATTATCTGTACTTAAATTTTTTATTGTTTTTCAATTTTAATTGCCATTTAAAGTTTAGGGACAGTATAATAATCTAATCTCGTAATATTAATTTTCAAGTAAGATTTTTGGCCGTTAGTGTTAGATTTCTGTCACCAATTTGTGAGAAACACATGCAAGCTTATTCCAGTCTATGTATGTGTACTACTGGTAGAGTTCATTGTCAGATGAATCAGCAAAAACATTGATCATGACTAAACACTAAATAAAGAAAATGAATTTAAACATCAGTAATACTGTTCTCTGACAAAAATTAATATTGTATGTTCTTTTCCAGTGAGACAATCTACTGCTCCATGGTTGTTCTGTTTACATCTCTACGTAACGAGTTGTCTGCCCTGCACCGGGGTTCTTTTCCCTAAACAGAAGGTACTTCCTCTGTAATTTTCGTGGTGCGGAAGCCAGAATAGATGTAAGGACTGGCTCGACTCTTGAAAGTGGCCGCACTTGTCTGACCAAAGGCTGATGGTACTTTGTAAGCATTTGCAGCTGGGTTACCTCCCCCTGTAGAGAAATGATGATATCAATAGATTGATTATGTCTCAAAGTTATCATTGTTTTTATTTACCAGTATTTGTTTTATTTTCCCTTGGATAAAGTTAATATAAAGTTAAAATATGCCTTCCATTGGTTTGAAAAATGAAAATAAAGTCTGTCTCTGACTTTCTATATCTTGTCACTAGACAAATTAACAATGATTCAGTTCGATCTCGTCCCTGAACAAGCTTGTGATGTTTTGATTTCCCATTAACAACGCTAGGTTGACATCTTGATATCACACAGATACATCACGTGTTTCTGATTTGATATAAAAATCAAAGAAATGTATAGAAATTCTATCTTCCAAGCTTACTTCTGTTGCTCTTAGGGCGACTGGTCATGGTGTATTTTGGTGTTGAGTCTGCAAGACTTGGTGTATAGGCAGCAGGTCCTGGGCTCACCTTACCTTCAATGTGACAGGTTTATTCATGATTTCATACACATATATATAGCTATTCTTTCTTAAACGAGAAATCTTAGCTGGTGCCTCTTAATTACACATACATCAATGTATGGCTCCATCTTAAAATTGTAGACTGTATGATAGGAGATTTTTGCCAGTATCATCTTGTAGTTTAAATGTATGGTCATCAATTCAAGAATAAAAGCTTCCCTTAGTGATACTTCATATACTAAAAATACACATAATTATCATATATTAAATCTTTTTTGTTGCATTTTATTTTCGTGGTTTGTCCACAGCCAGAAAGAAAATGAAAGTTTCTACACAATGGTTGGGTTTTTGCATTAGCAAATTCTCCAATATTTAGTTTTTAACAAGAATTTCCTTCAATTCTAATTTTCATCATCATTTTACAAGATGTTTTTAATCTGTATATAGACAACAGGGGAAGTTATCCATCATCAAGATTTAAAAAAAAAATGATTATATCAATCATGCCAAACTTACTGTCAGGAACTTCAAAACGTTTGCCCATGGAGAAGGAGGGTGCTTTGCGGCCACCAGGAACGGTGTCATTCTGCTCTGCTTTGTAGGAGTTAGGGGCGGGGTTTTCATCTGTCAATCAAATAAAGATAAGTGAACGAGAACTAACATAACCAGCTGCCAGGTGTGATGATATGGTGTAAACATGAACAAAGTCTGTCAATTGGTTTATGAAATATCTTGTACGCATGATTATCTGGGACAACATACTTATAGACACTCAAACGTATTACTACAATCCCTTACATAAAGTGACATCCTTACAGAAACAGGGAGAGTATTTGGAATTCAAATTAAAGTACAGATGAGTAAACAATATAATTATTCTACATAAAAATTGATAAAACAAGTCTAAGAGACTGTAGAAGTGGTTATTTTGGTAACTTACAACAGTAATTTGTCAATGTGTAACATTTGACTATGTGTAACATTTGACCCTGACTGTAGTCTGTAACTTACAACAGTAAACTAACATACAATCCCTGACTGTAGTCGTAACTGACAACAGTAATTTGTCAATGTGTAACATTTGACCCTGACTGTAGTCTGTATGTAGTTACAACAGTAACAATGTTTTGAATTTGTCAGTGTAAGACAATATAATTTGTCAATGTGTAACATACAATTTGTGTTAACTACAACAGTAATTTGTTAACTGTGTAACATAATCGTAACTTACAACAGTAATTTGTCAATGTGTAACATACAATCCCTGACTGTAGTCCGTAACTTACAACAGTAATTTGTCAATGTGTAACATACAATCCCTGACTGTAGTCTGTAACTTACAACAGTAATTTGTCAATGTGTAACATACAATCCCTGACTGTAGTCTGTAACTTACAACAGTAATTTGTCAATGTGTAACATACAAACTGACAACAGTAAGTCAATGTGTAACTTACAACAGTAATTTGTCAATGTGTAACATTTGACCCTGACTGTAGTCTGTAACTTACAACAGTAATTGTAGTCCGTAACTTACAACAGTAATTTGTCAATGTGTAACATACAATCCCTGACTGTAGTCTGTAACTGACAACAGTAATTTGTCAATGTGTAACATACAATCCCTGACTGTAGTCTGTAACTGACAACAGTAATTTGTCAATGTGTAACATACAATCCCTGACTGTAGTCCGTAACTGACAACAGTAATTTGTCAATGTGTAACATACAATCCCTGACTGTAGTCCGTAACTGACAACAGTAATTTGTCAATGTGTAACATTTGACCCTGACTGTAGTCTGTAACTGACAACAGTAATTTGTCAATGTGTAACATTTGACCCTGACTGTAGTCTGTAACTGACAACAGTAATTTGTCAATGTGTAACATACAATCCCTGACTGTAGTCCGTAACTGACAACAGTAATTTGTCAATGTGTAACATACAATCCCTGACTGTAGTCTGTAACTGACAACAGTAATTTGTCAATGTGTAACATACAATCCCTGACTGTAGTCTGTAACTTACAACAGTAATTTGTCAATGTGTAACATACAATCCCTGACTGTAGTCTGTAACTTACAACAGTAATTTGTCAATGTGTAACATACAATCCCTGACTGTAGTCTGTAACTTACAACAGTAATTTGTCAATGTGTAACATACAATCCCTG